TGGGGAAGGGGCTTCAGGAGAACCTCCAAAGACATATGCTCCCACAGTTCTGTTTCTGCAGTGGAGCCTGCAAGCCCAGGGGTCTACCGACCACCTTGTGAGAGCAGACACCTCTCCAAGCGGGTCACCCCTTTCTCCCAGAGCGGTGCTGGACCACCTGTGGGGGACATGGAGGGGCATGGGTCCACTGGCAGCCTCTTCCCCCGAGCCTTGGGGCTGTGGGTGCCACCAGGGAGGATGCTCAGGGGATGCTGCTGGTGTCTGACACCCGGCCCGGGCTTCACGGCGGGTGGCCAGGTGCCATTTCCATGGGGAGCGGGACTTGGAGGCTCAGCAGGGAGCAGCCGGGCAACCTGGGGTGATGCCAGGCGCGCCGAGGGTGCGGAGACGCGGCAAGGAGCTGGCCAGGGAGACAGCGCCGAGCCAGCAGTGGGGAGCGGGATGGAAGCGGAGGTATCGGTGGAGAAAGACAGGGAGACGCTGGGAGTGGCAGGGTCCGTGGGAGGCAGGGAGACGGGAGCCTGGTGAGTCAGCCTGGTGGGGTGCTTTGAAACCCAGCAAGGAAGCACAGGCAGGGCTGGTTCTGCCACAGCCTGGGGAGCCATCTTCCCCCTCTGGCACCTTCTCCATCCCTCCTTCCCTGCTCAGCCAAGGAAAGCAGATCACCCTCCCAGCCAGGGTGGCTTGCAGAGCCGCTGCTCCCTCCTTCCGAGATAACACTGGCACGGAGCCACCCTGGCTCCATCCACTGTGGCAAAGTGGTTCTTCATCTAACCGGGGGAGCTGCCAAAACCCAGCTTGGAAGCAGAGCTTTCCAGTGGCCAGGCTTGGCCCCGTGGCTGGCAGCACAGGAGATGCCATGCTTTGGGTGAGGATCTGCCTTTGTTCTCAGAGGCCCCTACAATCCTTCTGGGAAGACCCTATGGCATGTTGGACCTCCACTGGATAATCCAGGGAGGCAGTGGGCTGGGAAAGGCTGCAGGAGAGATACCTTCCCTTGTCCTCATCTTGTCCTTGGCTTCAATGGGAGCGTCTCCCTCCTGCAAACCTCTCCCTGTAAGGTGGCTGGGAGGGTGGCCTCATGGCACCCATTCCCGGGTGCTGGCGCAGGCTCCATGCTCACCATCCCACCTCACATGGGGAAACGTGGAGTGTTTCAGGGAAACGGTGTCACACCAGGATGCCTCTCGCAGGCGACCGGGCAAGGTTTCGACACCCAGGTTCCCCCCGTCTCTCCCAAAATGCCTCTGGGAGCAGCACGAGGGTGTCAGCTGGGTGTTTAGGTGGCTTAAAGCAGCCCAGATGCCCCAGCCCTGGTGTTTCAGGCACATCACAGACTCCAGAAGATGAAGGTTCATCTTCCCAAGGATGTGAAGCTGTGACCTCTCTTGCATGTCAGTACACTTGCATAAATCCTCCCATCGGAGCTCTGCTGGGAGCCAGAGACCGAAGGCTGCACTGTTGCATGGCTGGGCTACTGCACCAGCCAGGGTCTCATCTCTGTGCATCCTGGCTTGGCTCCAAATCATGAGGAATTGCCAGAAAAAGGGCACTGGGTGACTGTGCTCTTAGCCTTGGAGGCAGAGCATCCCCATCACAGCCTCTGTGGATGTATTGCGAGCATCCTTCCACTTCTGCATAGGAGGGGTGATATATTCTGAAATACTCCCTGTTCATGGGTAAAACTGAGCTCTTGTTGCCTAAGCAGTGGACATGTGCCTTTGCTCACACCTTTACCAAGCATCTCTCCCTCTGCTCTTTTCAAGTCTAGCTCCTTGCCTTGCTCTCTCCACCCAGGTCCCCGCCCCCAGGCATGCTTTCCCCACTCCTTTCTAGGTGCTGTGTCAACTGGGGCGAGGCTGGCAGTGAGGGGGAGTCCTCCAGAAGGGACGAGCCCCCTGTGCCCCCCACGCACGGCCAGCGATCCACCCCCTGCTCAGGGTTTGTTTGGGAAGGAGCAGGGGGGTGATTGCGACAGTGACACATGGCTGATTCATTGCTTGATCCAATCTCTCCCTCCTCACTCCCAAGTGATTGGAGTCAAATGAAACATACTTCTGTAGTCAAATCTGTAAGGGTGGGTCCCCGTTGTGCTTTGACCCTACGGGGCATTTTGTACATTTAATTTGATTTACACCCAAAACGTTAATTTAACATACTGGATTTTCTCCCACACCCAGCTAATGCTGAAAATCAAACAAGATCCTACAGAGAGGTTTGTGTGCCATTATCTCGTTAGCGTTGTTACTTATTGAGCAATTACAGCGCTTGGGCTGTACGTGCAGCGTTGCTGCAGCGCATGAAGAAGGATGCCGGCCGCCTGGTGACGTGTCTGTGGGCTGCCCAGCGGGACACGGCGTGGCCCCAAGGACGCTGCCTGGCTCCCTGCAGTGCTGTTGGTGGGGCCGTGCTGTGAGCAAGCTCCCTGAGGCTCTTCTGGGGTAAAAACCACCGAGGAATAGTATTTTTAGGAAAGGCAGCGTGGTCTTCTTCTGGGCTGTAGACAGGCAGCATCAAGGCTTGGCCAACAGTCTGTGTTTCCACCTGCTAGCAGAAGGGGAAGGCAGCCCACCGTTGCTGGGATGCTCTACTTGATGGTGGCTCTCCATCCAGCTCCTCTTGCCTTGCCAGGGCTCCAGGACTTTCTCTCCACCCTGTGCCTCTGATGGCGCAGGGCACACCACAGCCCTGACCACTCGTGTTAGGGCTCCAGAGCTGCTGCTGCTGATAATGATGATGATGATGATGATGATGATGATGATGATGATGATGATGATGATAATAATAATAATAATAATAATAATAATAATAATAATAATAATAATAATAATAAATAATTTAGTTCCTTGTTCAGCTGTGCTTGTAAGTGCACGTCTGACTTGGAGCACCCGATTAGAGTGAAGTGGGTGCTCCGGGACCTTGCTAAATGGGAACCTCAAAGCAGGATTTGAAAAAGCCCAGACGACATTAAAGTAGTCACAGCAAGCTCTTGATTCGGGAGTGTTGTGATTAATGTCGTTTGCTACCTCTTTTGGCTTTAAAAGACAAGGAGTGGTTAAAATAAAAGAAACCTCAAGTTGAAAGCCTTGCAAAAAATCAATTAAAACCCATGTAGCTGCATTTTGACCTGGAGCGAAATCTCAGACATAACAGAGAAATTACATAGCCTTAAAGAGAAAGAAAGAAAGAGAAGGTTTTACCTGTGGTATTGCTGAGGTATTGCCCGAAGGTGTGCTGAGGTGGCTCCTCACCTGGTACCTGCAGAGCCTCTGAACTCCCCAGAGGAGTAGGGGGAGCGAGTGGGTACCCCCAGCTCTCACCGTCGCTCCCAGGGCCTTGCCCGTGGGTGGGTGGCCAGGGTTCAACAGCCAGCCCGGAGGACAAAGGGTTGAGTGGTGGGGTGACACCTTGGCGGGGATGAAGGTGCCTGGCGCCCGTGCATCGCTCCGGCAGAGCCCACCGAAACGGGGTACGGCACGTGGGGCTGCTGCTGGACGTCCCCAGCGGCCCGCGCTGGTGGTCCTTGCCCCAGAGAGTAACTGGGGAGTAAAGTGTCGGGCCGGGCTCTTTCATTCGGCTCCCACACCTGAAGGCACCTCCTTTCCAGAAGCTCCAGGTCCAGCCCCTGAAGTTACATCTTCATCTCAACGAAACCAGCCATGAAGCCCACGTCAATTCCCCCCAGCTCGGCCTGCGCTCTGCTCTTCGGGAGGGAAAGCGGCAGCCTTAGAGGGGGGAGAGTGATGCCACTTGAAAAGCCTCTTCACGCGAGGAAACAGCTCTTGGTGCTCAGTCCCACCAAGCCCGGTGCAGGCTCTGCTGTGAGGATGTGCTCGGGGAGGAAGGCACTGGGTGCGTTTCCACTGCATTTAATAAAAAAAAGCAAACTGGGCAGGAGCAGGCACCCCTGAATGCTCTTAAATACCCAAGGACACACCGCACGCTGGCTTTGCTGCACTCAGAGGCTTTTCAGTGCAGTTTTGTGGGTTTTCTTTTATTTCTTCTGCTTCCTTCCCCCCAGCCCATCCTCTTGTCTTTTGTTTCATTTCCACTTTGGGAAGACAGGGAGAAGACAAGAGGAAAACAAAAAAAAAAAAAAAAAAAAGAAGGATGGGGGGGAGAAAAGGCTGAGGCTGCGACAAGTTTTTAATTTTAAATAAATGACTGAAACAGAATAGAATCATTTTTTTAACAGAAGAAAGGCTTGTCATTAAGAAAAATAACAACAACAACAACTTTCTCTGCCTGTTGCTGCCCCGAGGACAGCTCGGCCTCTTCCCCCGCGCCCCGGGGAGCCCTCCCCTGCGCGGGGTGCCCCGGGGGGGCCCTCAGCGCAGCCCTCCGTGGGCGGCGGGACCCGCGCCCGCCGGTGGGGAGCACCCCGGCAGCCCAGGTGGCGGGCAGGCAGCAACGGCAGGGCTCCCCTCCTAGGTTTTTTTTTTTCTCCCTTTTTTTTTTTTCTCCTTTTTTTTTTTTTTCCTCCGTTTTTTTTTTTTTTTCTTTTTCCTCCTTGTTTTTTTTCCCCTCCTTGATTTTTCTTTTCCTCCTTGCTTTTTTTTTTTTCCCCTCGTTTTTTCTTTCTTCCCCCCCCTCCCCCCCCGTTTTTTTTCCTCTTTTTTTTTTCTCATTGCTTTATTTTTCTCCTTGTTTTTTTTTCCTCTTTTTTTTTTTTTTTGCCTCTTCTTTTTCTCCTTGCTTTTTCTTTTCTCCGTATTTTTTTTTCTCTTTTTTTTTCTCCTTTTTTTTTTTTATTTTCTCCTTTTTTTTTTTTTTTTTTTTTAATTTTCAGACGTTAAATTCTTTTGCAAACATTCATGCCTTAGGAAGGGCTGGAACAAAGCTCAGCTGCTCCAACCGGTCGGACAGGTAAGCAGACTTGTTGACACCGTTATGTTTGCAGCACGCATGCTCCTTCCCAAGTTTCCTGGTGCATTTTTCTATTCCACCTTATGAAACTTTCCCCCCCCCCTCACCCCCCCCACCCCTTCCCCTCCCCTTCCCCTCCCCGCTCCTCGGCGGCTCTGCCCGGTGCTTGCGGTCCCGCTCCCCGCCGGGCTGCGGGGCGGGCGGCGGGGTGAGCTGCTCCCCTCCGCGCCTCTCCGCGCTCCCCCCGCTCTGCCCTCGCCATGCCCAGAGCCTTCCTGGTGAAGCGCCGGAGCCCGCAGCCGGCGGTGCGCAGCTGGGATGGGCTGCCCGACGAGGAGAGAGCCGACACCTACATCCCAGGTAGGGTGCCGGTGGGGCTCCCTCCCCCGGCACTGCGGGGTGCTGGGGCGGGGGGGTCCCCGACAGCCGCCAAGTCTGTCCCCGGGGGCTGCGCTCGGGGCCGGTTGGGGAGCGGGGCTTCGCCGGGGCCGGAGGAGCCCCGAAGGGGCGGGCGGCCGGCTGGGGAGGGGAGGGCAGTGTTAAACACGGGGGGGGGGGGGGGGGGGGGGCTCCCCTCTTGGCCAGCGGTGGGGGTGCGGGGTGCCGGCCCCGCTGGGCGATGCCGCCCCTAAAGCTGGCACCCATCGCGGGGAGCCCCCGGGCGTTTTAGGGGGCGGTGTGTGCGTGTGTCCGGGAAGGTGGGAAACCTCGTTTGCATGAGAAAGGTGCCGGGGGTGGGGTGGAGGAGGAGAAGAAAGGATCTGGGGCGGGGGGGGGGGGGGGTTGATGTACTCCTGGCCTCCCCATCCCCTCCTCCTCCTCTTGCCCTTGCCCGGGGTATAACGGGAAGGCGGCGGAGCTGGCTTGTTTGAACTTTGGGACCGTTCGTGTTTGAGTTTCCGATTGCAGCGGGAGCCGGGGATCCTCCCCCGCCTCCCGCCCGCAGGTTAAACACCGGGGCTCGGCGGCACACACACCCCCCCCCCCCGCCTCCCCTCCCCTCCCCTCCCCTGGCCGCGGCTCCCTGGTCCCCCCACTCTTTATCGCATCCCCCCCATCTGCCCCCAGCTGCAGGCGGGCTCGGCTCCGTGCTGCTCAGCTACGAGGACAGCGGCAGTCTGGAGAGCAGTGGGAGCAGCGGGACCCGGGACGCGGAGCCCAGCGACCCCCCGACACCCCAACCTGGCCCCGGTGCCTTGGGCGCTGCTGGGGGGATGCTGCTGGACCTGGCTGTCAAGCGCCCCGTGGTCAGGTCGAAAATCAAGGTAACCGCCCGCACGCCCACCCATCTTTCCCCGCCCTCCGCTCCCCCCCCCCGGTTCCGGGGTCACCCTGCTTCAAAGGGCAAGGCCCAGGACGCCGGGTGACAGCCGTCCCTTGGGCTCTCTCTGCCAGGGGTGACAGCACCCATCCCACCCACCGAGATGGAGGGCCCATGAGAGCGGCGTGGCTGTAGAATGGCGGCGGCAGGGCAAGCCTCGCAAGCGATGTACCATCATCTTCCAGTGCCCTTTGCCTTCCCTTATCCCTGCCTGGGACATGCTGCCCCTGACCTGCTTGGCTCGGGTCCCGCAGGAGCTCTGAACCCAGCCAGGAAGGACCAGCCCTGGCAGTTAGGAGTCATGCCCCACAGTGCGTGGGTGGATCTTGTTCCTTAGCGTGGAGCCTCCTTAAAAGGCTGCCTTCTAGGTTATAGCCAAGCCTTTGCCAAGGGGGGCTGCTGTGAATCTTCCCCCTGCCCCCCCTACCCTCTTAACTGATCAAGATAACGGCTAGGAAAAGGTCTTCCTCTGAAGCTGTGAAAGGCCATTGCCACCTTGAGGTGGACCCACGGGTTTGGGTGAATTGAAGCAATTACCTGTCCATTAACTTTGCTGTAAAGCCTCTCTGTTTTGTGTGTGGGAGCTCTCGCTGCCTGGGTGTCCCCAGTGGAACGGAGTGGTGATCTCCCTCCCGAGGCTGAGAAAGGCAAACCACTCGTGGGCTCCTCGTGGTGCCCGAGAACCCAGGACTGATGCAGATGCTGTGTGGTGGTGATGCAGATGGGGCGGGAGGACCAGGTCCATCTCTGACTAGCCCAGGGTTCACCTCCGCCAAGGTGGAGCCCGGGCACCCCACTGCTAGGAAGGAGATGTGTTTACCGGTGACTAGTTAACACCTCGTTAAACCCTGGCAGCTGCTTTGCTGGGTATGGAGCTGTAAAAATCCCCACTGTCTCTGCCCGGGTGGCAGCCTTTCACCGCTGTGTTATTAATCTCGTGATTAACACTCGGGTTTTCATCCTGGTTATTTGCGGCCAGATGAGGTAGAATCCTACCTGTTGCCCAGCAGATACTTCCCAGATGGCTCTCCCTCTAGTTCCACACTTTGTGGTTTCACAGCTGCCTTTTTTTTTAAATCTTTCTTTGCAATTTCAGCTAGCGTTGCTTCAGTAGTAAGTTAAGGAGGAGCATTGGGGAAAAATAACTGGCTCTTCAGGAAAAAGAAACCCCAAACGTATTCCTCTCTTTACAAAGAGCTCGCCCCACTGCTGTCTGACTTTAACCTACTTCGTATAATTTAACCTGGGCTATTAGCAACTGTCACAGCGAAACCTCGTTTCAGCAGAGTTGGGTTTTCTCAGCATGCCACAGAAACTCCCCAAAAGTGCCACGAGAGCCGATGGAGAGGCGCACACCGTGCCACCCGCTCCGCTGGCTTTCCCCAGTCCCGAGCGTCTAGCTGCGAGCATGTCCGCTCCCCCGTGAATAATTAAACTAATTGCGAAGTATTTGCATCTTCCAGACATTTAAGCCTTTCCCTCTGAGGAATGCTCTTCCCAAGAGCTGAATCATCAGTGTCTCCCTTAGTCAAGTTAGGTCATGGTGCTGGCACAATATTTTTGGTGGTGGAAGCGGGAATGAGGAGATTAACCCCTAATGACACTCTGCTGTTAATAAACGAGATGGAGAGACCAATGAGAGGAGTTTAGTGCCATTGTTTCAGACTCTACTGAGTCATCAAAACATGCTTCTGGTTTATCTTGCCAAACTTACTGGTTTTTTCGCTGCTGGCTGGTTTTTGAGGGACCCGTAGCAGCGTGATTGGGGAAGGCACTGCATGGACACGGCTTCCTCAGGCCGGGGAGGGCGTCCTGTCCCCATCCGGGGCATTAGCTGGGTGCCGGAGGGGACGCGCGTGTGGCCCCGCAGAGAGGAGCTGGCAGCCCGTGCCCGTGTAGCTGGATGTAGCTGGCTGAGGGTCCCTGCCCCTGCAATCTAGCCACTACACAGGCTTTACTTTAACCCCCGAAGCCAAGCTGGCCAGTGTTGCAGCGGTCACAAACCGTGCGCATTAAGTCACCCACTTGGCTGCAAGGGCAGCGTGAAGCTTTCACCTAGCAAGAGTCTCCCCAGCGCTTTCACTTTTTGTTTTGAATATACCCCAAGAATGTCTTGATGCCACAGCAAGCTCCTCATTTTGTCTGTTTTCTGGTGGTCTTTGTCATCTCAATGTCTATCATTCCTCACGCCAGTCCTCTTCCATTCCTTAGTTTACCACTGGCACCTGTACCGATGCTACGGTGCATAGCTGCGAGCTGTGTGGCAAAGGCTTTCGCTTGCAGCGGATGCTCAACCGTCACATCAAGTGTCACAGCCAGGTGAAGAGACACTTGTGCACTTTCTGTGGAAAAGGCTTCAATGACACCTTTGATCTGAAAAGGCATGTCCGGACCCATACTGGTGAGAACACGTTCCCCAGGGGCTTGCGGGTGGCTCTGGGTGGTGGGAGGTGGCAGAAGGGGTGAATGGGACAAGGATGAGGAGAGGGTGAGGGTAACCTGTCAAGAGAATAATACAAAACACAGGTAAACAACATTTGCAAAAAATAGCGGGCATGCAGTGAAGGAAAGGAAAAGATGTGAGTGTGAACAGATGAAGTCTTGGGATGAATGAAATCCAAGGAGAACTAGTGAAATCTGTGTGAAGCAGCGTGGGTGCGTGAGGTGCCATCCAGATCTGGGGTGCACGCAGCCATGGGCGGCTGTTCCTGGGTCAGCGAGACTGGGACAACCCACCCGGGACAACCCACCCGGGACAACCCACCCGGGATAACCAACTCACCACACATCATTGCTAGTCCAGCGCGTACGGCGCGCGGATGCCGGCAGTGGGTGAGAATACTTTGCCCTCTAGAGGCAACGAGCAGCAGTTTCCTGGGGTTTATTTTGCTGTTGCAAACTTTCCCCCTTGGCCATCCTGCAGGATGGGATTTTGGCTTGATTTTGGCACTGGCTGGAGAAACCAGAGCGTGGTTCGTGCTGTGCTTCCAGCTTCTTTAGGGAAACTAGGCAACACACCAGACCTCTGCTAACCCTGCGTGCTGCATCCCTGCCTGCTCAGGGCTACCTACTCCTCCAATCCCCTTCCAGAGCCTCCTCCAATTTCCCTTTCAGGGAAACCTCTGCCTGCCCAGCCATCCAGATCAGTTTGGCCTCTGGCCTGAACCATCTCTGCTCACTTGTCGTGCAGGTCACAGCATGCTGCGTTGAAAATGGGGAGCAGCGGGCTGAAAATCTGACAGTGGTTCCCGCTGTGGATTGAGGGGAGGTTAAAAAGTTGCTTTTAATCTTGGGCTAGTTCCCTCCTCCCTGCTTGCACCTACACCAGGTGTACAAGCACAACTGCGGATGCTGTGATTCAAGCCTGTGGTGACAGTGGAAGAAAGGAAAAGCATCCCTTTCCCTGCTCTGCTCATCCTTGCTCCCAGGTCACCCCTCCTGGCTGGAGGGATGCGCTTTCTGTGGTCGCTCTGCAGTGGCAAACAGCGGTGGCTGTGTTCCTTTGAACCGGATCGGCTGCTTCACACCCAGCTCACCGGTCACAGAACTGCTTTCTCCTTATCCTAACCTGCAGCAGGGAGAAGGCTGCCTTTTTGTTTCTCTTTCTTTTTCTTGTTGGAAGCGATGGCTTAAATCCATACCAGCCCCGTCCTCACCAAGCAAGATGCTTTCTGACAGGCCGGGCTGACTTTCCTCAGGAGCCTCTGACTCTGCACCTCCTGGGCACATTCCAGCTTTCCAGATTTGTGGTTACCTACGGGACCTGCTGATTATTTGGGCTTGCTCCGCAATGCCCCTTTTTTTGGCTCCAGCGCCATTAACCGGGTGAAGTGCTAGGGGTGACGCAAGTGTGTGGGTAGGCAGTTGTTTCTTAAAAGCAGAGCTCATGAAAACAATGCCGTGTGTTTCAATGGGAAAGCGCTGGCTGGAGCCAATGTTTGGGGCTGTTTTGGTTTGTTTGCAAAGCTTTCCTGCGCAGAGGAAAGCTGCTGGCTGCGAGCAGAGAGCCGCCGCCAGGGTATGGCTGAAATGTGGGGTCGGTGGTTCTGAAAGAAGTGATTTTTCAACCTGTCCCCTCATCCTTTGAGATTCAGAAACTGAATCCAAGATTGTCTCTGTTCAGAAGCCAGAAGTATATATATGCTGTGGCAGGTAGGGTTGAACTCACTGTGCAGGAGTAGAACCAGTATTTTGAAACTCTGGGAGGGAAGAAGGATGGGAGTGAAAAAACCCAGTGTCCTGGAAATGTGAATCTTATGGTTAGATTGTCCCCAGATTTACCAGAAGAAACCTGGCATCATTATATCTCCTTTCCAGTGTAAATCCAGGATGAACGCTCACAGGTATTGGTATTTGCCCGGTGCCTTGGGTCATGGGGGGATGAAGGCTGATGGCAGCAGCGGTACCGATAATGCGTTGGTGTGTATCTTTTCCATGCTGAAATACAGCATCTCTCAAAGCGGTGGTCTTTTTTTATGCCAAAGTTGATCACTGTTCAGGAAAGCTGGACTGTATCTGAATGTTAAAAAGAAGGCAAATGTGCTGGAAGCAGTAGCGTGATCTTTATTTTGTAGCTACAGGTGCTCATCTACGTGTGCTTTACTGAATGTCAGTGTTCCAGTGGAAACTGTTTGTAAGCAGTGTTTGTAACCAGGCCGTGCAACAGTAGGGTAGTGCCAGAGAGAGCGAAAGCCAAACATCCCAGTCTAGCTTCGTGGTATAAGCAGACTTAAGTGTTAAAAAATAATTAATATACACAGTAAAATAAAATTTTAAAAGGATTTCTAGGTAATGAAGAGGTGCCCCCAGTGCCATCTTGGCACTACCCCTCTTGTGCTTGTATTCATGCCCGGGGAGCACTGCTGGCAGCAGGAACCCGGGATGGTGAAGGTTTAAATTGCCTTCAGGTGAGCATGAAGCTGTACCCAAAATACTGTTTGTAAAAGATCCATTTTTGTGTATGAATTCTAGTGAAGATTTGGAGTTTCTCTACAACTGCAGTTTAATGTAACTAACTGAAGCAGTGGCACGGCAGCGGGCGTTAGGAAACTTTAGCCTTGAGAGTTTAAGCCGGTGCACGGGGATAACCTCCTTTACAGGGACTGCAAAAATGCAGTCAAGATACTGCCTATTGCAACTTCTTATTAGTCTGGATTTCTGGTAGAAAGATCAGTGATTGGGTGGTGAACTCAGCACAATGTGATTATAAAATTACAAACTGTCTGCATGGACGTGTGTGCTTTGCCCTTTTTTGTCTGGCTCACTAGAGGTCTGATCATCTGCATCTCGCCTTTCATTGCGAAGAGAGAGGGGTTTAGGTAACTACTTGCATCAATTTTAAGGCTGGTCTTTGACTGAAAACTTACTGAGCTAGTCTAGTAAGTAAAATCACAACTGGTTTAGGTTTTTTCAAGTGTCCCTAAACCCTCAGCTACGTGTCATTCAAGGACTGGGAGGCTACTGTTAAATCGGTGTTGATCGGTGGTAAAATGGATACTTTTCACTGCTCAGTATTTTTGTAATGCTTATTGTCTGTGCTGAGTGAAACTGCTTGGGCATTCAAATCACAAGCCAGCCCCTCCTCCCTCATCTGGAGACACACATACATATTTCTGTCATTTTAAGGCACTTCTCTTCTAGAACTTGAGTTTATAATCTCAGTCATCAAATCTATATTCGACGAAAATTATCTCATTCCTTTGAAGCACTGTGATCACTGTATGCTCACGTTGGGCTGCCATTCACTGGAACCTCATTAAGCTTTGTTCACTAAAAGAGAAAAACTAACACCTTATAGAGATACAAGATTTCATTCACTATAAAAGCGAAAATGAAAGGTTGGCTGAAACCAGTAGTTTCACCTAATCACAGGGCTTCAAAGAATTGGGTCTCTAAAGGAGGAAATTTTGCAAGAGTCAGTAATGGCTTCTTCTTTAGGAGCAAAGCACCGATGGGCACCCGTTAGCCTCGGCGTCTGCCTACGTCTTCTCAAAAAGCTTCTAGGTTTTCTATGCCTAAATATATGAACCTATTCCTGAAAATTTTAGCCTGAAAGTAAGGTGTTGTATTTAGACAGATGGTTCCTCGGGCTAGTAGCTCCCCACTGCTGGGTATCTGCTCCATGGCTGATGTGCCAGAGCCTTGCTCTTAGCTGGGTCCTTAGTCGGCTGTAGGAAACGTAAATCAGAACAGTAATCGCCATCTTTTAACGTTGCAGGAATTCGTCCTTACAAATGTGAGGTTTGCAACAAAGCCTTCACCCAGCGCTGCTCCCTGGAGTCCCACCTTAAGAAGATTCACGGCGTGCAGCAGCAATATGCCTACAAACAGAGGCGAGATAAACTTTACGTGTGTGAAGACTGCGGCTACACAGGCCCCACGCAGGAGGACCTGTACCTGCACGTCAGTAACATTCACCCCGGAAGTGCTTTCCTGAAAAAAACCTCCAAAAAACTTGCAGCGGTTTTGCAAAACAAACTGAGCCCTGTCCTGCAGAGGAACTCCAAAGATGATGACAAAGATGAGTAACACGGTGGATTACAGTCGTCTAAAGGAATGAAGTTTACATGTAGGACTATATATATGTTATTTTTTTAAAAAACAATTTTGAAAGAAATCCCTGAAATGAAAGGGACGCTTTTGTTAATGGGACTCTCTTGATGTTGGTAGAACCTCAACTTGAAAGAAATATTCCCATTTACGATGCAAACGTCAGGGTTTTTCATCCGGCCAAAAAATTGGAAAGCTTGGAAGAGGCTATCACCTCTTGGATGGAGTATTTACTGAACTGACATTCAGACACCCTGTCTTCTGTTTCAGCTCTACCACACGTCTGAGTGGCCATTGACAAATAAATTCACCTTTCCCCAGTGTATTTTGTAAAGATTATAACGATTACCTCCCATACAAATTACTTTTGAGGGGTTTGGGTGAAAAGTGCTGTGTAAGAGCAGCTACTGGTATATTGTTCCATGCAAAATGAATTAAAATGGTCTTAAGAACAGGAGTATGTTGTATCGGTAAATAAGTTAAAACGTGCAAATAATCTTAACTCTGTCCCCAGTGCCATACACTAACAATTTATGGAAGCATGATCCAAGGTGAGCTGAAATTTTTTTTTTAAAGGATGCAGAACTTTTTCCTCCCAAACTTTCTCTACCAGCGAATGACATTATTTCAGGGCAGATTTACGGTCGTGTTTTAGGTACTTTAAGCTGTGAACTTACTTTTATCATGTCTAGATTTAACTGTAACCTTAACTCTAATGTTCCAGGACTTGTCACACTCACTTTGAGGATTATTACCGCATCCTTTTAACCTACATCACTATCAACCCAGAAACCCAAAGAGAACACTTTAATGACTTGAAGATATGTATTTTCTGTCATGCTGAAATGCAGTTTTGTGTGTATTTTATGGTGTGTGTGCGTGTGTTTGAGGATTTTTCTCTTTTTAATGATCAAGTGCCTGATCACTAATACAACAGAGCAGTGCAATGCAGTGAAAAGGGAGACTCAGCCTGGTTTTGCCTCCTGCGATCGGTGCAAAACTACAGGCACGAATCTGGCTCCTAGCGCAACTGATGCTACAAGGGAAGGGGGTGTTGATGATGATGAGGGACTGGTGGTACTGCTCGGTGCTTTTGGCCTTCCCCTGTAGCCCTGCTCCAGCTCCTTTTGAGCCAGAACCACCGAGAGGGTAGCCTATAGGGACTACTGAGTGTGAATTCAGGGATTAAAAGAAAAGGGGAGAGGGATGCCCGTGTAACTCACGTTGCTGGGACAGCTTGACAATAAAACTCTTCAGAGGCTGCTGCACGCCTGGGTGGCTGTAGTAGGGGTGACAGAGTGGGGTGGTAATTTCCTCAGCAACCACGAGGTACTCAGGTCCAAGCACTTGCTATTCATCTGTCTCTTGACTTAGTGGACACAGCTGCTAAACAGGTTTTACATCAATTTAAACCTGTGAAATTAAATCGTAAATGCCAAAAATTCATTTCGTGCTCAATATAAAGCTGTACATTTGGGGAGGATATGCTGTATTCTATACATGTTGAAACAACAGCTGAAAAGTAACACCTAAAATACAGTCATAGCCAGGACCTTCACAATCATTACTACTAAAATGATAGATTCTGAGTGTCTCTGCAAAAACTAAAATCTTCTCAATTTGCCTCAGTTTTATACAGGCATCTGCTTGGGTTTTTGTGGGGAAAAGCTTCTAGGGGTTTTAAAGCATTTATAATGATATGAATACTTTATTCGAGCACAACTGTCAGAGCTTGGGACCTTGAAAATGAGAATAATAAAGTGATGCTACTGTGTAAAGAACAAACTTGTCGTTCTATGTGATGGGAAAGTTGACAGAATACTTTAATAAATGGGAAGTCCATGGAAAAAAAGCATCTGCGGTAAATTAGAAGGCACTTACTGTGCAAAAAGAGCTAAAGCTTATGCACTGATCCCCAGTTCTTCTGAGATCACACCGTTATAACTGAACACATAAATGGAAGGTTGCTCACTCTGAGCCAAGCTTGTGTGCTTGCGAATGCACTGACAACATTGCCTGGCTAAGAAAAGCACTAACAGGCGGTTCAGCCGATTGTGCTGGCCACACGCCCCTGGGACCCGCTCACCAAACTCAGCCGTGGAGTCCAGCTCCTCGGGGGGCCTGTCAGTACTCCAGCTGAGCAAAGTGACCAGCGTTCACCTAACCACAGCGAATTTGTGTGCTTCCCTCCACTGCAACCGCATCCCTCGCCCTGTGGCAGCAGTGGCGTGGCAGAGACCCATCTCGCTGGAGACACGCTTGGTGCATGGATGCATGTGCACCCGTGGGTGTTTTCCCCGCCTTCTTCCCATAGTACATGTTGCTTTTTTTCTCTCTCCACCACCAATGCCAAACCATGTCCCTGCTGGAAGAACTACAGCCCCACTGAGGGGGTCCACCTGTGTGCTTTCAGCCAAAGCAAGCGTTCACAGCAACAGAGAAATGCAGCAGGGAACTACGCAGAAGAAAAACCACTCTGGGTGGAGAGCAAAGTTGGATGTTGTAGCTGGTGGAACCACCCTGACTGTCTGGCTGGTCTTCCCACAGAGGACAGACACTGCCTGTAGCAGACGCCCTGGGCACATCAATTTAACAGTCTGGCAAGTTAGCTTAAATTGGTCCCAAAGCAGGTGGAAGTTTGCACGACACTGGTGACGGCCTGGCCAGTTGTGTCACAGGACAAAGCTGGTGCTAGCTCCTGCCTCTCCAGGGATGTTCCAGAGCTCACAGGGGGATGCCCGAGGCAGCCAGACCTTCAGAAGCGCGAGACACAAGTAACTTCCACCGCTACCACCTCTGCAGGCTGCCTGCCTTCCCCCGGCTCTCTGACGGCACAGACTCGGGTTTACAAATGGGCATGGCAGGTGAAGCTGGCAGCCTTCCTCAGACAGAAGGGCTTTGTGAAGCAAATGAACGCAGGTGAAGCCAGCAGGTGCCCACACTGCCCAGGCTCTGGCCTCAGCCTTATTTACCAGGACACAGGACCAGGCTGCGATCTTACCTGGTTCCAAGACATCTAACGGGTGTCTGATGCGCTGATGAAGGTGGCAACCCCTCCCAAACATTGCCCAACTGTTCCACACTCTCTGGATTTATCCAATCCCAAGCAACACAGGGAAATCAGCACGTTTTATCACCTCCTGCTTCTGCCCCGGGCATTTTACCTCTTGCTTTTGCCCACCTTCTTTGTATCCACCAAGCTACCTCTCACAGAAAATTGACGGTGTTCGGTGATGTTGAACCACCCACTTTCAAAATTCTGTGATGTGGGAAGATACCTGTAAAACAGGTAGAACTTCTGAGCATCGTCATGGTTAGTCATTTCTGAACCCAGCTTCTCAGTCTCCATGGCTTGCCTTTTTAGATAGAAATCTAATTAAGCATGGAGTAATCATAACATCACCAGACCAGGTTTGAATAAGCAAGTACCACTATAACTAAGTTTTGTTGCACAGGTTTCCACGGTTTAGTGCTCTGGAGGAGCAGAAGATTAAGCACTACAGAGTTTTAAATTTCTTCAGCAGCACGTCTGTCCATTGCTTTTTTTAAGGTATGGTTCTGTCTTGAAGCTCAGGGGTTGGTTGTATTTTAATCTGTAATCTGCAGCGGTATTATGAAAAATCATACATACAATTCAGAGAAAACAAAGAGAATGAGGAAAAAATACTGCCTGACATCAAGGCTTACTCTGTGTCTTACAGACTTGATTTTACGAAACAAGCTTCAAAAGTAACTTCTGGTTTAGAATTTATATTCACAAACCTATTTAAAAAACAAATCAAACCAAACCAAACCAGCCCTCCAAGAAAACAACCCCCCAAAAACTAACCAGCAGCTCTTCATTCCTCAGAAGGCCCAGCTCCAAAGTCACGTGCTTCTGCAAAGAAACTTACTCGCGTGGGCAAACACTCGAACTCGATACTGGAGATCGTTCCACACGGGGGGCTCCTTGTCGGCTCAGACCCGCAGTGAAGTCAGGAGAGCTCAGGGCAGCCGCAGACTTGGCCTGCAGTCTCACAACCGGAGGTACAGAGCCTGTTCACACACGCAGTTCTTCCACGTGGGCCACATGGCCTGTTAAGAAACCTGCGGGAGGAGCCACCAGAAAAAGTCAGACTTCCTACCTTTCAGAAGACTTGCTAGAAATTTGTATCGGGTACAGTTCTGCTCCTTTTGCTAAGCCACTTCTGTTAAGTGATCACTTCGCCTTAGTATTTTAAGTAAGTGTTTATGACAACTTTAGTTATAACTGTTAGTGCAGTTTTTCCAGTTGTTGCTGTAACAAAAACCAAAACCAGTAACAAGCCTGCTAATAGATACCTTTTTGATGAGCAAGAACTAAGCGGACTGAAACCCAGTCTGCTATATTAATTTATCATTTGCATTTCTCTCGGCTCAGACAATGCAGATGTTGTTTTGCTTTAGTGCACCAACTTCATTTTCAAAGCCTCAGTTCTGCAACAGTTGTTTTTTTTTTTCCCCAAAAAATAACAAGAGAAGGATGATTTGGATTGAACTGTTTTATTTGGTAATAGAAACTTTTCTATCAAGCTCAGGTTGTACAAACTGTGTGGGGAGAAACAGAGATTAACTAAGTTGACTTTGTGCTGCCTGGTCCACTTAAGTCACATACAGTGTAAGCAAATATACATTCCCCATTCCAAATTTCCCTGCCTTTTTTTATTAGGGTTGAAAACCTCTGATGCATAGCTTAGTTTTGGTCAGTTCCTGTCCTTGTACTCTTCCAGGCGCAAAAGCCACTTATTCCAGTACTGCGAGCACAGATCAGGATCCATGAAATGGGGATGCGCAGGGTAGCCATTCTTGTAGGCAACCACAATGAGTCCGCAACTAACCTACAGTTAAAAACAGAAGGCTGTCAGAAATTCTATGTTAATATGCAACTTCAATCAGCAAATCTAAAAACTAAACCTCACTGCAAAATGTCATCTTAATGTAAAAGTACTTTAAAGAAGAAATGTGGAACAAAAAAGAGCAACAATTCACCATAAAGTACTTGGAGACTAACATTCAGATGCTCCAAAGACTGTCACAATCCAAAGCTCTGACTGACTTCAGTGAAAACCAGAGGGTTCGAACTCCAAGTATCAGAGTCATAGGGTCTAATTAAACCTTGCAGATGCTGATAGAATTCCCAGCGACTGATGAGGTTTTGCCTGGGGTCATATAACCAGACTGATGCCATTCTCCAGCATCAGTCTGAATGGAAACGATTCCTTAGGTAAGTTCTGACATCTTTCATATTTGACAAACATCTAATCCAAATTCCAAACAGCCACCAGTGCGAAGAGAAAGCACAGGAGCAAAGGAGAAAGCACGAGAGGCCAATAGCAGAATTATAGAATTACTGCCTATATTTCACTCTGTAAGGATCATGTCTGATAAGTGCTTGTGTTTACTGACCTCTGTAGTATTCTAAAAAGTCCTTTGCACAACCTATGAATTACCTGACTCTCTTCTGCTCTGTATTTCCTCCCTTCAATGTTTTGTATTGACATAACAATCATTCAGGCCAAGCAGGCCTGGCTAGAATTGTCTTTGGAGTCTTTAAAAATATTATTGCACTGCCTTCTGATTAACTGATTGACAACACACTGCTTTGCTCTGAGGAAACACTGTACAGCTTCCAAACACTCTAAGTAAATCACTTCATCCCTCATTTAGTAGTGGGATATAGAAAGACAAGATGCAAGCAATGCCCTCCCACCCTATTTCCCCGTTTGCAGGCTCTTTTACTACTCCTCTTCCCCCTTCCTTCTCTTGACACAAGCAAAAACCACACAGAACAAAGCACTGGGGATTGCCCAGATACCAAGTCACTGTGAGTGTATCTGACCTCCCAAGATGCTGAGCAACACTTGGTCCCACTGAGCATTTCCTCAAAATCACTGAAACTAGACAGCTGACAGGCAAAGGAAGTAGGATTAGCAAGAGTAGCAGAGTTATTTCACAGTATGTCAGCTTAATCTGATCTAAGGCTGGGCTGCTTTGTTACAAATCCTACTGCCAGTTCCATGATGGACAGCAGGTGCTAAAGGTAGTAGGTGGGGAGACATGAAAATAACGTGGGTGCTGCTGCTTGTCTAGGCAGGTAGCAGGCCTACTGACCTGGAAGTCATAATTGGCATCATGATTTATGGCTCCAATATATGCTGCAATCTGTAATGGGTTGTCAAAAGTGTTCTTCAGAGATGGCTTTGGTTTCTCTGAAGTTTTCCAGTCAATCACACACAACTGGCCTCTGCATAAGAGAATAAGATAGGACAATGTTTTAAAATTAAGTTTAGTAAGAAATAAGGGATGAGACAGCAAAGAAAGTCGTACCATTTTTAGCCTGTCTCACCCTCTTGTCATGTTGCTCGTTATTATGTCTAAGCAAGTCTCTTCCACACTAGTAGTTTAGATCTCAAACATCAAGATTCACTAATATCTGCTGCAGTTCCTGGCAACTCCAGAGGATCAATAACCCTGCCTCGCTCATACCCCGTAAGGGTCCTCATGCTCCAGTAAGGAATTCTCCACAGCAAACAACAGCACTTCTGGCACCAGGTTCATCCGTTTCACCACTCAGAGATCTGCCCAGCCTCCCCCCTAGAGCTCATCAACACACCTGCTCCAGCCTGGGACACAGCCCCCCATGTGCCACAGAGCACCACACAACGCTGCCATTATCAGCTTGCTTACAGAACCAGTACCTCACCGATACTTAGCCACGCAGTCTACCAGGCCCAGATACTGAAGAGTCTCATGCTGAACTGCGCTTTCCAGAGCTTTCACTTCGCTGACATCTTTCAAGACATGTTGCACACTTGATAAGTAGCCAGAAATAGCAGTATCTTCTCTCTGCTCCTTAGTTGCCGTTTCTTCGGACAGGAATATAGATTCCAAAGCTGCATGGAAAAGCTCTCCTTGGAGAAAAAGATCTATGAAAAATGTGAAAAACCCCCACATTTTAGACACTAGTCACAATACCTGATGGACTTATGTTCTAGATATTACAAAACATAGCTGTTAAACCAGTCCTGGTTTTTGTACTGAAAGCCTGAGAATGAGAGGAGGAAAAGGGAATGAGACAGAAAAATAAATTGTCTACAGTGAAATTAGTATCTCTTATATCAATACTTTACTTTTTTGGTCTCACAAATTACTCGGAAACAAAATAGGGTTTTTAATTTTTTGTTTATTCAAAGGCATTTGTGAATTTCTATGAACTACAAATATTATTCTAGGCTGCTTTTGCTTCTTCTGCTGTATTGGTTCATTTGAATGGAATTAATCTCCTCCTGAAATGGGTGGGCATAGCTCTATTAGTAAGGCCTTATCTCAGAAATGATTCCAAGAAAGATAAATTTTAAATAGTTATGTAAGCTTTGTTATGCCACCTTATTCACTGAAGTGCTTAGTAATTCAAAAGCATAAACACAGCATATTCAGTTCTAAAAAGCGTAATAATTCAAGTAAGGAGTGCTTGGGTATTTATTTGTCTTGCTACAAGAGGCCACCTACTATCCCCTAGGTCCTTCCAGATCCTCTTCAGTCCTACAGCTTGAAGGAACTCACCTTCGTAGGTTTTTTGAAAAGAAAACCTCTAAATGCATGGCAATTTCATCGAATATGCCTCTTCTATAAACTAGTTACTGAAGAACTGCAACGCAAACAGCAAGACACATAGATTTTTAAAAAACACCAAAGATGACAGAATTTCAGAACGCTTATTTCCATCTCACTACAAAGTAGCTTTGTATCTGCAAACAGGCTCAATAACATCAGCTGGAAAATATCTATTTGTAAATAGATACCAGCAAATAGAAAAATAAAGGAGGAATAAAATCCTTTATTTCTAAAGGACTTGTAGGACCAGAAACTGCAGCTATGCTAGCACATTGCAACCAGCTACCCAGACTATTGCTTCTGCTTTGCAATCACACTCTAATTAGACTTACTTTTAGTATACTCTGCAAAACCATCTTCTCCAAGTTCCAGTATCATTTTCTGCTTCCATCTTTCTAGATAAAAGGCTTGCTGTGGAGAAACAGTCTGCTGAAGAATACGGGTAACACTGGGCATTTTAGTTTTTTGTAAAGCAATTTTCACAGGGAGGTTTGAATCACTGTTGAGAGGGGGAACTCTCTTGTTGGGGTTTATTAAAGGAACCCAGTTCTTGGGAGTTTCTGTTTCAGCTTTAACTGGAGGTCTGCATTTACTCGATGGCCCATTTAACAAATTGCCTTCTTCAGGTACTGTCTCTGGTGTTTGAGTGCTGGTTTTGTAAGATGTAACTGAGTAGACCAAGTTCTTGTATTTTTCTTGGTCAACTTGTTCATAACTGTTGGCTTTTTTCTTTTTACTATAAAGACACGCAGAGGTAGCCAGACACATACGTGGGAATTGCTTTTGGCAAAAAGGTATTTGAAAAAGCAATTCCAGTTTCCTTGGTTTCCTGGACAGTAACTGCAGGAATTTCATTCTGACAAGAATCATTTGTGAGTAGTTAAGAGTTTTCTTTCTTCTGTTAGGAACAGTCTGTAGGTTACCATATCTTCCTCCTGTGGAAAAAGAAATTTGTGATTTCCAGAGTCATAAAACTATACCATCAACCTATTTTGCCCTTTGTCAAAGAACGAACTGCTATGGTCATACAGCATCTTCATACCCTTTATGCCACCAAAATTCCTATAGATAAACAATACAGTATGAGAAACAACCAATAAGCAATGAAAAGAGGAAATGATCCTGAAAAGAACTGCTGCGGGTCTGCAAAACCTGAAACAGGGCAAACACATAAAGATGTTTCAAGTAGCAAAAGCTACAGCAGAGGATGCTCTGACAGCAACAGTATCAGAACTGTCATGAAAGTAGACACAAAAATCTGATTTGCAACAAACCACTCCCCAAAAGAGGGAGGGGGAAATAAAAAAAAATAGGCCATGCAGAAGAGAATGAAGCAAATACATTGTTGTGAGGTATTAAAACCATGTAAATTTTTAGTGGATGCCCAACTTAAAGGGATCATGGGGACAAAGTACCTTTTTGGAGAATAAAAACATGGGGTTTTTTTGTATACATAGGAGAAAGCAGACAGCAGCAGTATATGCATTCTGAAATGGGGAGACCTGAGACTGAGAAAGCTGAAGAGAAACAAGATGTATTGCAAGTATCTTCAGATTCAAATAAATCTTTTAAAAATCAGAGTAAAATCTAAAAGTATTTTTCTACACTGAGTTTCAAACATAGTTGTGTTCTAAGACACTCAAGAAGTTTAAAAGCAAAACCAGTATACCAGAAATATCGTTCACAATATAGCTTTCAAAACTGCATTGAAACTGCAGTGCAAAGTCCTAGGAAAGTTTATGCGCTTGGATAAAATGTAAACATGTGAACAGTGGCATTTAAATCCACACTAAATACTTGCAGAATTGAGGCCCTATTCTCCTACGGAAAATTATCTGCTTACCATTACAAAGTTCCCTTCCATCTACTGCAAAGAATGCAGGCAATGCACATTGCCAGCTAACATGAGCATTTTGTTCCTGACAATACCTTAGCTTTACTCTTTTCCCCACACTTCTTACACAGCACTTCACATACTACCCAAGCTGTAGGCACCACAGAAAAAAAAAAAAAAGATAGTAGGAGGAGTTGTTTTATATGGACAGATCCTGCACTTATGCAGAACTGCAGTGACACCAATGTGTGGGTGCGGGCATCTGTCACACAGAACAGTTTGGAAAAATGGGGCTGTAATGGCTGCAGCTGATTAGATAAAAGCATCTTATAGCAAGAGGCTGAGACCTTGGACTCGGTTCTATAAATATTGTTTCTCTTCTGTGAAGGACAAAACCAGACAGCTGTAGAAGTTTAATCAGGAGTAGGCAGATACACTGCTTCCTTCTTTACTGGCTTTATATTTTCACACTGACTTTGAATGGTTTGGGCAAATAACTGTTCTGTAACTTGACGGCATGTAACCTGATAGAAAATTAACCTGTCAAAAGCATATCTGAACCAGGAAAATACAATTCGGTTGGATTAGAACTTTGTGTCACGTAGCAGTGGCACCTCTGACGGAGTACCAGGTGCCTTACAGTCAGATTTGCCATACTGTTGTTAGATGGTCTCACTCAGTCTTTACAACGCATATCGATCAAAATAGTTAATGATTTTAAAACTGCTCCATGGTCCCTAAGACATTAATAGAAGAAAATAATGAAAGTACCAACTGGTTAATTCTGCCACTGACTTTTTACACTCTGATTAGATATAAAGCAAGCTCCTCACAGGGGAAATCGTACCATTTAAGATACTTTGAATAGGTCACTTCTCTTTTCTAATCGTTACATTATACTTAATATCGAACCAAATCTAAAGCTGCTTTCCTTATCCAGCAGAACTGGGTTAGGTGGAGTTGCACTTGTTTTCTCATTTTCCAGTATTCAGCAGCGAGAATGGACATGACCCTCTGAGCGTCCTCTGACCTTCAGATTCCTGCCAAAACTACTTTCCTGCCTGCATAGGAGAAAGCAGTCATGTGCGTTACAAAATGACAAACCAGACAATTTCAACCATGTTAATCTCACGAAAGTATGCAAATTTTGCCAAAAAATAGAACCACCTGCTTTAGACAGGCTATACAGCAGCAAGAAATTGGACTATATAACTTAAGTTCTGTCCTGCTCCATTTTATGGACATGTGAGGAAGTTTTACAAACTTAGGTGAAACATAAGCAAATTTTATGTTACCTCTCATTTCTTACATGATGTCAAAAAGCTGTTCCTACAGCTCGCCAGAAATTTGTAACAGCATAAAGAGGTACTTTTTATGAAGTATACATGTTTCAATTTTTCAGTTCTCCTTGGGTTTTCAGTCAGTAACTTTTGCATGTCTTCACTATTACCACCAATTTTTCCAATAAATTTATTCTTAAGAAGCTCCCCATGTTTTGTCATTTGACAATCAGAAAGCAGCTCACTTCTGCAAAGCTGCTATGCCAGGATTTACAGCAATTCACTCTTCTCAGAAGACTATCACATTTTTTAATAGATTTTCAGTGTTGGAATGGCATCAGTTACCTCATGGAATCTGCCCCTTGCTGAAAAAGTATCAATGAGCAATGTTAGCACATTACAACAGGTGCCAGTCTGCTGCAGGAGGTAACAAAAAAACAGTAAAAACAGCAAAGGGATATGTAAAGGTTAGGCTTTAATATCATAAGTAAATTGCTTCACCATATTTTTTCATCATAAAAGCACTGCAGAAAAATTATTCTCCCCTCTCTTGGGGTTTACCTCTAAATAGAGCTGTTGAAGCTGTGATTTAGAATAAAACAGGAAAAAAACCAAACCAACCCTCTTATTGCAATGTAATAGTATCCAAGCTTGTAATTTCTCAGGCTATGTTTGATGACTATTAATATACTTACCCAAGGGTATTAATCAGAACAGAATAAATGCTGGGTCAACGACTGTGTATTTGTTACATTAGCCAGAGCACAAAAGAAAGTTTATTCTGGCTTTGTGTCAGCTGCAGGAAGCAAGATGATACCTGATTCAGCATGAAGTTCACTTGTAGTAAGCTGCCCCCCTCAATATTCTTTAATGAATAAATTCATACCAGATCAGTGTTTCGAATCATTGAGCTATTAAAATTTGCAACATTACAAGCCCTAGAGCTAATTTACTATAACACTGGTGCAGTGTTTCAGTAACACCTAGTATGATTTTTAAATTAACAGCCTATATTGTTCTGGAGTAATATCTGTAGAAATGTTTATGCACTCTATGAACTGAACAACAAGGAAAGGGAGAGTTTGTCAGCTACTGTGCAGTTCTACAAAAGGAAAGAGGCTGTAGGATTGCTAAGAAATAAAGAAAGACAGTATCTAGCCAAATAAAGAATCATGTTTTTCTCAACGGTGGCACTTCTGTGCAAATAACTTATGATTAGAAGAAAGAAATGGAGTTGGATCTACTGGATCTGGATCTACTCTCATACGTAAAGAATTGATATTTCTCCCTTGGGAAGTGCCTCCCTTCTCTCTAAAACAGTTTGTGTTCAAAGACTGGTAGAATTACTTCAAGTATCACGTGATGAGCCGCACTGGAAAACTGAACACAAACTGGGGGAAAAAAAAAAAAAAAAAAAGCAGCAACAAACAACAAACACAAAAAATAAGCAGGATTTCTCTTAAGTTTCCCAAGCTATCTGACTTTGCAGCTCCCACAACTGCACTAATACAACTGAGGAAGTTTTTCCAGAATAGGAATGAATGGCCTAAGTGAGGGAAACAAAAAGGGTTACTTACGAAAACGTTCACACCCATAAAAATACTCCTCCAACTATGGTTACAGAGAATAATCAGTATAGCTTTTTCTCCACAGTCACCTAACAAACAACAAAAGCACTCATTTACTTCAGAGATAATAAGAAAGAGCACTTCTGAACATAGCTACAGATCTGTTGCCCGTTGTCCCTAATTTGAGGAAAGCAAACCCACTGATGAAGGTACAATTTTAAGTTAACATCACAGGCTTTCCTCTGGGAAGAAGTGTTATTATTTGATGTAGAAAGGCAACAGTAACCTATCTTCTTGGTCAGAACGACCACTTTTTCTTTTTTCTAGTTACAGCTTAATAATACAGGACACTGACAGCTGTATCACTTTCAGGACCTTCCACACTTGTCCGTTCCCTGCTCCCGACCTTTCTTCATTGCAGTTTGTAAGCTAAATCATTAAGTCTATTCCAGTTTAAAACCCAACTCCCTCTTTTGGGAAGTTAAGTGCATGGGGAGATAAAGATTCAAATTTAGCAACCCAGTTTAAAGCACATGCCCACAGAGCTACACTAGACCAGAGGGACAACAAGCTTCATCTCTGGGAAGGGAATTAGTGGGAAATACGGTTGTTAACGCAAAGTCGGCGTTTTTGGCAAAGCAGTCTGCGAAAGGGCTGACCCATTACTAGTGACCAGCACGCGCACACGTGCACTCCAGCAGAAAGACAACTTTTCCACACCGGCAGGAGGTGCTTGAAAATCACCGGTAGCGCTGGATAGACAATGTCTGTGTAGGGCTTCCCTCACAGATAAGTCATTCCCGACATGAAGCACGGCTCGCTGCTGGCGGCCCCACTCCCTCAGCGGGTATGCCCACCCCGCCAAGATCCCCGCTCGGTTAACAGACCCGGGGGGGGGGAGGGCACGCGGGGGCACAACCTTTGCCACGCGTGATGGATGGAAAGCCACAGGGAGGAGGTAGTCGCAGGCCTAAGCAGCCGGGGCGGGCGGCTGTTTCCCCTCAGCTACCCCAGTCCCGCTGGAGAGGCTGGCGCTGAGGGAAGAACCCGCTCGCCCCACCGCCACAGCCACCAGCCCACCTTCCCCGGCCCCCTCGGAGAAGGGGAGAAGCGGGGCGGCCGTTACTTACCTCAGCGCCGCGTTTCCCGCCGCTTTCGCCGCGCAGGCGTGCCTCGCCGCCTCCCGGGGCTGGGGGAAGCTCGGCGCGGGTGGGTGCGTGTGCCGTTCGCGTTTTTTTTTTTTTTTTTTTTTTTTTTTTTTTTTTTTTTTTTTTTTTTTCTGTTGAGTCTTTGAAAACCGCTGGAGAGAATAACTCAAATCTTTAAAAGCGAGGAAAAAAAGTTAAACACTCCACTCCCCACCCCCTCCGTTACGCCGCCATCTTGGATGAAGGCAAGCAATGCCCTGCCCTCACCTAAGATGGCCGCCGCGCTGAGGGGGCGGGCGGCGCGGCCGGGGCCGCCGGGGGTGTGTCGTTGGCGGCGTGAGGCGGTGGCGGCTCCGCCCCGGGGTATATGAGGCGGCGGCGGCGGCGGGGAAGGCGGCGGGCGGGCGGTCGGTCGGTCGACATGGCTTTGCTTCGGGAGGACGCGCAGAGCAAGGTGAGGGCGGCGGCCCGGGGCCGGCTGAGGCGCGCTGTGGCTATGCTGAGGGCCGCGCTCGTTCCCGGGCTGGCCCCTCGGGGTGGGTGTGGGGGGCTCCCAGCCTTCTCTCCCCCCGGCAGCACTGGGGCAGCGAGGGGATTTTATTTTTGTTCGGCTTGGGGTTTGTTTTTTAAGGATTAGTTTTCTTAACGCTGCTTGCGTGCAGCACCCTGAGGACAGGTGATAAAGGTGAGGGTGGCGTGCTGCCTGTGAGGAAAGAGCTGCCTCGAAACAGACGAAGCGGAGGGGAAATAAGAAACAACAGGCTGGAAAGGAGAAGGGAAGGGCTCCATAGCTGCCTTAAGTGCAGGCTGTGAATGGAGTGTCAAGTCTGTGTCAGGAGCAGGGTGACAAGTGGGCCCTTGGAGCCCCAGGAGCTGGGCCTGCTGCTGGGGTGCCGGACCTGAACCTGCTAGTCAGGACCTGTAGCCAGGCACTGGTAACGAAGTGCTGCCGGCGCTTCTGCTAGAAGCGTTTAAACTTGCTCTTCCTCAGCGGGCCAGCTGCCTTGTGTGCCTGTGACCAGCCTTCCTGGTTATGTGGCCTGTGTTAGGCTGTCACCTGTCACTTCAACTGTGATGCCCCTGTGGTTCTCGCGTCGGTAGCTGACTTGGCTCTTTTCTCTCTGGTAGTGTCGGAGCTTTAAGCACCAAGGAGGCTTATGTCTTGTGTTTGAGGGAGCATGGGATGTCACCCAGTGTTAAGACTCCTAGTTTCTCAGAGGAAATGCAAATTAAATGCTAACGCAGGAACTCTGTGGATTAATGTGTGTGTATGTATACAGACAGCACTTGGAATTATTTCTCGTGTTGGAAAAGCTGCCTGGTTTGATAAGTACCTCCAATGCACCTTGAATAGAAAGTAAGATAGCCCTGTAACAGTCTGTGAGCTGCCTATGCAGAGAGTTAGACTTTCATACTGTTGCATCTGAATGTAGTTTTGTATTCTGACTAAGCTTAACTCACTTGCAGAAAAATGACTTATGTTTTAAGCTGTTAGGAGGGTTTAAGTATTTCAGTCTGTGTTTTCTCCAGCTTTTTGGAAGATGTATGTTAGCTGACTTGAGGGCTATAAATACACCTGCCTTGAAGTTGCCTACAAAAACTTACTACTTTCATCTGCTTCTCTTGCATATGAATTTTTTAAACCAGTATCAATCCAGCAGAACAGGCAAAAGTTTGATCAAGTGCTTTCTAGTCACTTGGTTTGAGCTGTGAAGTAGCCGGTGCTTTAACCTTTTCCTGCTGCATGTGAAACTATTAAAGTATCTGCTATTTGAGAATACTGAATGCACGTCTGTATAGGCTTGCAGGACCTGCAGGTGATGGGTGGAGGGAAAGGTAAAATATCAGCTGTCTTGCAGCGATTGGTAACTGTGAATGTTTATGTGCCCCTTCTAATTTAACAGGCAGGAATATTGGGGGGGGGGAGGGGAAAATGTTTCCACTGTGAGTGCTGGCTTTAAACTCTAATGCTCAATGGCCAAAGATTAACTAGCTTGTTTCAGGTAGTAGGGCTGTTTTGGGATCCCAGCAGCAGGGGGGAGGATAGAAATACTCCTATCTTGCCTGTGAGGAAACAGCAACATGGAACTGGCGAATGGCTGGTAGATAAAGCCTATGCCTATAAAGGAAGCTTCATTAGGTATTAACCTTGAATAGAAATCATTGGCAAGTATAAATTAAAAACTGACCCTGAGGTGGCGAAGCAGGAGAGGATCAGGGTATGTAGGAAGAGGAAGGGAGGGTGGGATAAGGGTGACTGGAAGTGTAGTGGGAAAGATGGTGTAATACGTCACGGAGGGGAAAAGGCAGTTCAGAAAGCGAAGTGAGTAGTAGGACTGCCAAACCAAGCTTGTGCAAATACTCTGGTATTTCTTAATGTCAGTGGCTTAATAGTATTTTAAAGGTTTCACTCTGCAATTAAACTGTTCTACAACAAAATACTAAGAGTATTGTAGCCCCTCTTTCTCAGAACAGTCTCCACTGACAAAATGGGATGTCATAGCCTGGGACATGCTGTTATCACTCCTGAACAGTGGTTCTCAGTGCTGGACAACTTCTGCTACATGTTCTGGAAAGAATGAGCACCTGCTAGATCTTGTTTATGCTTTGCAAGAAGACTGCTTCTGCATGCTGCTTGGCCCGGAAGCAAGTAGGAGGATGAACTGCTAGCAAGGTGAAAGCTGCTGGAGAAGGATAAGGTATGGTCAAGGACATATAGCCTGCAGGAAGCTGACCTAGCACTTTGGGTTAATGACAATTTCAAGTCCATGGGAGGTAAAGAGAGTGAATATTGCTGAAACTCCTTACCACCAGCTCTGGCCTCTCTGCAGGAGGTCAGCAAACCATTCTTACAGATGCTGACTATGGGTTAGGGGTTTGCTTCTGTTGCACTATACCCGTTTTAGCTGGGCATGCTTCACGTTACAGGTGACATACGGGCTAAAAGTGCTTAGCCATAGGCTGTGCTCTGCTGGCAGACTGCTGCAGCAGGGTGGATTTGGCCTGCACTGCCAAAGCTGTTGCTTGACCTCTCAAGCTGAGGAGGCAAGGTCTGTTGGGTGGAGGTGTCCTGTGTGCTGCTAGGTGGAGCAAGGTGAGCTAGAGAGGTTTTTCCTCAGAATATGGGATACCTGAATGTTGATAGTGGCCTTCCCTCTGTAAGGAGGCATGCTGCCACTTCTGCAGAGAGGGATGTAGAGATCCTTCTGACTGGCCTGCTCACTTAGCTTTCCTGTCTATTGCACAGTCAGTGGCAATGGTGCTCTGGCTATAGAGGCTGTCTTCTGCTTACTTGTCAAGCACTGCACTTGGTGAGGAATGCCATTTCAGTGCGAAGAAATTGCGCTGTTATTCCCTCTAGCTTTGTTTTAAGCAAAATAATTAAACCATTGTATCGCTGGAGTTCTACGGTCCAGTGTCACAAATTTGGGAAAGCATTTTCTAAAGCATTAGTAGCAACATGAAGACTGTGCGCAAGAAGACTGGTTCAATTTTGCTGGTTATGTGGAACTTGGACTACCTCAGAACTGTTTCAGCAGAATGTCAGAGAGCTAATAGCAAGACCATCACAAAGGCTGCAAAATCAAAGCTTCACATCTACTGCATTGGATCATTACTGCTGTATGTGTGCAATGTACTTTCAGACATATTTTTAGTATCTTGGCTTAAGTTTCCCTTTAATCACTTGTGCTTTAACGTGACTGAAATGTAGTTCCAGCAACTAATGCCACTAATATCTGCTGGCCAGGTACTCTGAAAGTCTGCTGGTTAACTCCTGGGTGTCAGAACAAGGCCCTCTGGAACTGACTGTCTGAAAATATGATTTCTCAGTGCTCCCCTGAGAGCAATTAAACTGGTTTAATTAAAAAGACTACTTTGTAAAAAGTAACGGATTCTGGGTAGTGGCAGATGTAATTATTACTGAAGTCTTGTTTGTGGCTGTTGCTTGAATGACAGCAAGGATGTGATCAGTAAGAGGTTTCTTATAAGGTAGATAACAATAAGCAGGAAGCTCTGTCACATGTAAGCCCTTGTGGAAGGGGTCCTTGCTCCTTCTGGGAGCCCAGCTATGTGGAAAACCCCTGGATTAATCTGACTTTGAGAACAAATATGGGTTCTTATTTCACTAGCAATTGGATGTTGTACACAGTTGCTTGCACTGGCAGATTCTTTTGTTAGAATGCAGAAGTAACATCGAGTCATCTAGAACTGATGCTAAAACTGCAAAGGGTGTAACTTTAAAGCAGCAGTTCAGGCCACTCAACAGAACCAAGCGGCTTCAGTGGTTGAGGGCATTTCCTTCCACTGGATGTGTGCAAGCATGAAGATGTGTTTGCATTGGGTGAGGCTTGCTCAGAAATTTATTTCTGTCAAGCTAAAGTCTGGGTAGCTGATGGTCATCACTGGATTGTACTTAAATGATCCAACTCTCTTGTTTTTTTGTGTTGTTTTTTTTTTTTTTTTTTTTTTTTTGTTTTGTTGGTTTTTTTTTTAACATCTCTAGGCAATAGAAAAAAGCAAGTGCTATCAAAATCTACCTGGTTTGGTCACAGTAATGCTCTGCTGTTCCTTCTCTTGGGCTTCCAGATCAGGTGATGATTATTATAGTGTCCTAATTAGTGCCATAATGTCTATTTTTAGTCTTCTGGCCCTGCTGCCTAGAAACATTAATCAGTATGATGACTGTCTGTTATTGTGGAGGGCTTTGCTTGACGTCTTATTCTAATTGCCAGGTAAGGCAGTTGTGGTGGACAGTATCTTTACTGAACAGGGAGAAGTTTCTCCTGAATCCTCAGGAAAACCCTAGGGATCCCAGTGCAAGTCACTAAAGAGGCATGAGCCTAGAAGTGGAAGGCATCAGAGCAGCTGTAACTGTTGCTGTAGTCCTTGCAAACCAGAAGCCTCTGAGCTGTTTCTGAGAAAGGGAAATGAGAGGTGAAAGTGGGGCACTGTGCTGGGTTTGGATGAGTGTTTCAGTTTGCAGCCCAACCCAGCTGCTTCCCCGCTGTGCTGCTCCAGGAGTCACCATCCTCTGTACCTCATTAGGCATGTGCTGCAAGTAAGGATTAATCTCTTACCAGCTGCTGAGCTTGCATTATATCCCTTTGAGGGTGTGGGGTGACAGACTGGTTTTTGGTAACTGGGATGGGGAAACTTCAGTTCTCTTGCCTACTGCTTAGAGAGCAAGGAAGAAGTGATGATATGCTAGTGGAGAAATGCCTCTGGATGTGTAGGAGCTGCCAGATACGGCAGGCCTGAGAGCTAAAATGGAGTGGTTGCCTGGGAAGGCATTGAGTTGGGTTACTGCTGTGATAAAGAAACAAGGCTGGGGCCTGGAGGTGAAAGCTTAATTCCTTTGCACAGCCTTCATGTGACCATAAGCAAATTGGTCCTTATTCCTGCTTGTTGGATGAGTGTAGGAGGGATGGTGGAATGAAAGGTCCTGAATGATGAGCTGCTAATGTTGCAGGATCAAGGGCTGGTGTAGAACATGTGCTTTAGGTGCTCACTGGGTTAGTGCTTTATAGAGCTGTGGTAACAAGAGGGGGGCTTTTTGCTTCCAGTTCAGTGGAGAAATGCTGCTCTAGCACTTTCTGTAGAGAAACAAAGCACTCTGTCCTCCTGAAGTCGGGCAGTGTGAATGCTCTCTTTGTAGTCTGAATCTTGCTGCTGTGATTGTGTAATGCTAAAGGTCTCTGGCCTGGAGATAGGAGCCCACAGTGACCTTCACAGGATTAGAGCAGACCAGTGGTTTTATGAGCCTCTCTTTCATATGGCTTTAGGTCCTTCACTGAAGACCAGACTCCTGAAGGGTGGAGGTGATAATTCTATGCTGTCTTCAAACAGTGATATACTTGATGTTTGAGCCTGCAGTGGCCTTTATAGTCTGGGATGCGTACCTTTACAGCAGATGTTTAGGGTAGGAGAGGTATAAGACTTTTTTTAGCAAGTGGTTTCATGTAGTCCTGAGGGGCAGAATGCCACCACTGTATATAGGGGTGTTCTTGACACTTGTTCTCTTTCTGGCTTGGTCTCACACTTCAGGCCTTATGTATAGTACCTACTGCTCTGGAGTGCACAGCTGAGCACTGCTGCTGACTTACCGTTGCTTCTCTGTAAATAAGGCCCTGATGGGGCAATAAGCTTGTCCTGCCGTAGTGTTCCTGGGACATGTTCTTGCCCCATTACTTCTGCAGTTTATGGTGCTAGTGCATGGGAGAAACGCCTGTGCCAAGTGAACTGCTTTAATCTGACAAAGCAATACCATCTTGTGTCCATATCTGCCCATCTTTTGTGCAGGCAACTACTAGGCATGTATGGGTGTGCAGACAGCATCTAATCACAGGTTATTTTTTTCCACAAGACTTAAAGTTCACAAATTTAGGACTGGCTGATCTGTGTAATCTTTTCTTTAGTTTAGCTGAGAGGAAGCAGTTTCCTTTGGCTTATCATACTTTCCAGACTCAGCAGTTCATATTGTTAGCACTGCTGATCCTGTTTGGACAGCAAAGATAAGTAAGCAGGATGCAAAACACTGGGGTCTGCATTTCACTGCTTTGGCTGCTAGTGTTATCTGGCTGGGAAACACTGACCAACTTGCCTTTCGTTCAATTGTCAACAGACAGCGAGCTGTGCTTCCAGGGAAACTAATGTCTGAATGGTGGCCTAACTATCCTTCTTATAGTGCTTGAACGGGCAGCTGCTGCCCAAACCAGTGTCAGTGACCTCTGAGCCATGCAGCCGTGTGCTGTTTGGTTTGTGTCTTCCTAGCAAGTACTAGAAATGCATGCCTGTAGTGGAATATAATAATCTGTCCCATGGAGTGACTGGAGAGAAGTGACCGTGCTGCTGGAGTTCCTTGTAGTGTTTGGAGTCTTAACATGTCCATTTGGATGTGAGCAGTGCTGGGACTGCTAGGAACTGTGTTCGAGGGCATGCCCTGTGAGCTCAATGTCCTTGCTGGTTGCCAAGGGAATACCCAGGATGGGATAAAAGCCTTCTGTTCTACAGAAGTCAGAACGGGAGGCTCAGTGTGCTGCATATGAGGCCTTTCCATAGTCATAAGGCTTAAAGATGTATCTCCTACCTACCTCCTAACTCTAGCTAACAGCTAGTCTGCAGCAGATAGAAGTCTTTTTAGTGTGGCTGGAAGGATGAGGGTACAGTGCCTGGGGTGTATCTTACTTATGCGTGAGAGCCTGATCCTAGATGATAGCAGTAACCATCAGTGGTAGTGGGAGTCTGGGCAGGGGCAAGCTGCACAGAGGCAAATGCATCCTGGCCTGTCAGCTGTGTCCTCTGCAGGCAGCCAGAGAGACTTGTCTACCAGATCTGGACTGCAGTACACAGATGGCCACGTTAGATGGAGTGAGTTTCCAAAGCTTCTGGAAGCAAAGCTTTGCTTCGTAAAGGGCAGCCTCTCAGCAGTTCTTATGCAGCTTTACAGAGGCTTAAAAGGCAGCATTTAAGTGATCTGTGATATGACAGGATTGCTCAGATGCTGTCTGGCACCATTTGATCGTAAGCTTTGGTGCTGAAACTTCTTGTGCTTAGCAGGTGGTAGGGGCAAGCTCCTGGCTGGTGGGGTCTGTGCACTAGTATGCTGCGGGGTGGTGAAATAATCAGTCATGGCCCAGTTCTCTAGTTTGTTTTCCTGGGAAGGCATTCAGAATTATCTCTTAAGGATAACCTCGGGATTCAGCCTGGCTCTGATGATCACTCTTCAGCAAACTTCCTGTGTTGTGACCTTGATCTCTGGTAGTTTCTCCCTTTTGCAGAAAACAAAAAAGACTTGTTAGGCTGCAGCACTGAATGGAGGGCCTCTTAGAAGACAGATTTCATAGCACAAGAACCACCATAATGTGATAAGCTAAGGCTCCTGCATGCTTCTGGAATACAGATGACTGAAGCTGGTGATCACTAGCTTTTGAAAAGTCTATTCCTTGGTATCTAAATACATGATTCTACTAGATGTGAGAACTGGATGTATGCATTAATCTTAGTAATCTATGCTGGATACGCTTATAACTTTTTTGCTTGCTTCTGAGGTCATGTAGGGAAGTAAAGCCATTTGTCTTCGATGCTCGGGTACAAGCAGTGAAGTACGACTTGACAAAGGAATTTCGAGTTGTAAACCAGAGGGAGAAATGGGCTGGTGTCTATGCTGAATCTTACCACTCGTAAGTGAGGCCTGGCTGCTTCCCTGGCTTCCCAGAACAGGGTGGCATGCTGGTGAGCATCAAGGCCTTGTCTGTTCCGAGTCAGAAAGCTTTGTCCTTGTAAGGAATTTCAGTAGGACCATGACTAGAGGATCTTAGTGGTATGTAACCTAGAGCATCTTCAACTGAGAAAGTCTGTTCCACTGTTCTAGAAGGGTTCAAGTATGGTTGAAATTATATTCTGGGTGTAGGCTGTTGGAATGAAGAAATAAGTCCCCAAAGGAAGATGCTGGTTCTGTTTAAGGCCTGTCTGGAGGACTGGGAAGGCAAGTCTGGTCTCTATTGAACTTGGTAGGCTCTGAGGTCTTCTGTAAAGGGTGCCTCACATACCATGCTCAAACCTCTTCTGAGCTGCTCTGAGTGGAAATAAATGGCATTAAAATGTTGCCAGACACAAAGCTCTGTCTGGAAAGGATAAGACAAAACCCGAGTTTAGGAGAAGAGACTTACAGTTACAAGCAATAAATATCTGAACATTGCTTTACAAAAAGCTATCTTTTGAGGATAATTCTAGTACAAGCTTATTGGGGCTTTCTTTAACAGCAACTGTGCATTCTAGCAGCAGTGAATAACATGATGCCAGGTATCCTAAAATTAAGGTGAAACGGGTGCAGTGGTAGTGCCACAGTGCCAGAAACAGGACTAAAACCCAAGAACAAACAGTTGGATCTTAGACTTTATGGGAGCCTAAAGAGGTTTCATGCCCCGCTTTTCTCCAAGATCAGAGAGATTGTAGCCTCTGCAGCTGTTGGAACAGCTACTGGAACATGTGCAGCAGTTCTGGGAGATCAGAATGGCAGCCGTGACCAATCTGGGCCTGGTGAGGAAGCGTCAGGCTCTTGCTTATGGCTTGCTATTTGTAATGATAAAAGCACTTATTTCTTCTTGCCTTAAAGCAGCTCTCTGCTCTAAGGGTGAGGAAATGGGTCACAAGGCTAGACTTTTAAGAGCTGTTCTGCCACATATTGTGGAGGCACAGTATAGTCAAGAGAGAACTATTAGGGTCGTTACTATCTTTTAAATGGCATAATAGGCTTTGACTTGATGTGCTCCAAGTAAACAAGCTGGAGAAGTACTGGAAGGAGGACATTTTGAGAGAAGACTTCCCAAATACCTCTAATGTGAATTCTAACAATTGATTCTTCAGACTTTAAGCTAACTAGCCTTTTTCCTTTCCTGTGTCTGGAAGGGAAGGCTTGTTACAGTGCTGTGCAGGTAGTGTCAAGGCTGTCATATTTGTCCATGTGTGCTGTTCCTGGAGGCAGTGATTTAGTGTAATGTGGTTCTGGTTGACAGCTGATGACCAGTCTAGCTTCACTAAACCTACTTGGTGCTTGACCAAGGCTTGTACTGTGAATTCTGTTCCAGCTGAGGTCCGTATCTGTAGACCTGAATGTTGATCCTTCTCTCCAAATTGATATACCTGATGCCCTAAGTGAAAAGGACAGAGTGAAGTTCACTGTGCATACTAAGGTAAGATCATGGGGTAGAAAAAAGTCTTAAGTGTTATGTAAGTAGTCCCTGTATTTGCAGTGCACATACCTGTGAAGATGGGCTTGGCAATGAAGGAAATCTAATTAGATGGAGGTTTTCCACTTAAAGATAGTCTCAGGATATATATATATATGCAGAAACCAGACTTCTTAAGACTTGAACACTTTCTAGAGACAAGGTAGCTGATGGGCTTTGCTAAGGAATCCTAGCTTGACACCAGAAGGCTGGGGGGTAGGGGTGGGGAAACCAGCTGCTGTGAAACTTCACAAAATAAACTGCATTAGTGCTGTTCCACAACAGTGCCTTTTCTTTAAATAGTAGTATGACTCTCAAATGAGTGCCAGCTTCAGCTAAAAGGGAGTAGGGGAGGCTCTTACTAGGCAAAATAGCTTCCTTTGGAAACGGACAGAACTGTTTCTAAAAGCACTCATTTACAAAACAGTAGGGCTTCTATATCTTCTCTTCCAGACTACACTGTCAGCTTTTCAAAGCCCTGAGTTTTCAGTTACAAGGCAGCATGAAGACTTTGTGTGGCTGCATGATACACTCACTGAAACTGAAGAGTATGCAGGACTCATTGTAAGTACTTCCTAAAAAATTAATTCTAAACAAGAGACTATGGTGATTTAAAGCGCATACTAGTAAGGGCATGAAGTCTCCTTTACCAATGTTACTATTGTTTCATGACTCGGGTATTTCCCATGCTTCCTTTTTGCCTTAATTCCCAACAACTTGAGTGGTATGGCTCTGTTAAATTCTGTATAGCTTGGAGCATCAATAAAAGCTTGATGCTTTGAGAGTCCTGGGCTCTATGATGGTATTAATATCTGCCTGAAGATGATACAGTGAAATACTCTATTAAATATGGTCTTTCTTATTATGATTCTTTAGGAGGCCCTATGGGCCACAGAAGATGGCTGGCTATGGGGTGTATTATAAAGCCTATTCCTCTTGGTTGGTTTCCCTCCTGGGACAGGGGTAACACAGAACTGGGAGGGGCAAACAGGGTCCTAGACATCAACATGCTTCTAAAATTCCTGGGTGCAGAGCCTTGCTGGCATGCCATGGCCAGGCAAAAGGGCCTTGTTCCAGAGGAGGCTAGTAATTTTGGAAAACTTTATTTGCTAGCATCTATCACTAACCCATTCCTTGGCTAGATACCTCCAGCACCTTCAAAGCCCGACTTCGATGGTCCCAGAGAGAAGATGCAGAAGCTAGGGGAAGGAGAAGTATCTATGACAAAAGAAGAGTTTGCCAAAATGAAGCAAGAGCTAGAAGCGTAAGTAGATTGAGTCTACTGCCAAAAGCTACAATTAGAGAAGCCTTCTGGAAGAGCAGCTTATCTGCTGATAACTGATCTTGAGTGTGACTGTTTTGGAGTGTCTGCTGGTGCATAATGTTTAAAATCCTGGAGCTGGGTAGTTGCCAAGTTTCCCTTAAACTGGAAAACTTCCTAGCTAAAGAGATTGAAAATAGTTTCTCTCTCACTAGCTAGTGATTTCAGAAGCATGCTGTTGAATATTTTCACTGGATAAACTTAAAGCAATTCCTTGTATATTGAAGAATGCACTATGAGAAGATCTCAGTCTGTTCTTTACTTTCAGTGAATACCTTGCTGTCTTCAAGAAGACTGTATCATCACATGAAATCTTCCTTCAGCGGATTTCTTCTCATCCTGTGCTCAGCAAAGATCGTAATTTTCATGTTTTCTTGGAGTATGATCAGGACGTAAGACACTTTTTTTTTTTTTTCTCTTCTTTCCAAGTGAGACAAGACAGTAGGACTGCTGTCACTTTTTCTGGGCACAGTCAGAATGTTATGTAAATCTGTAGCATCAGCAAGCAGGTATTGACAATACTTCTCTGAGATGGTTCACGAATGAAAGCCTGACCTTTAGACCTTTTTCTGCTATAAATCTCAGTGTTTCTTAATTCTAGTCAAATTGGTTAGGAAGCCAACTTTGTCTTGATATCTTATGAACAAGTATGGTTCAGGTGTACCTGTACTGTATGTTGCATGGTCCTAAAATGGAAGAATGGAGGTGTATTAAAGTTAGTACTTAATCTGTTTTGTCACATCTAATTATGAGTGATAGATGCTGATTCAAGATACATAAGGAGAAACTGAGGTGTTTCTGGGAATGGGAAAAATACGTGGCACATAGTAATTGAACAACTTCTAGTCAAGCCACTTGTTAATCAGCCTGCTGTGCCATATGCTAGATATAAATGATGTTACTATGCTGCAAGTGTCAAAATAGCTACTTTTCACCCCCTACCTCAGGATAACTTTAAAGCTGTCTTGGCCTATCCTGTTGCAGCTTAGTGTTCGGAGGAAAAACACAAAAGAGATGTTTGGTGGCTTCTTAAAAAGTGTGGTAAAGAGTGCTGATGAAGTCCTCTTCTCTGGAGTCAAGGTAAGGTAGCTGATTTACTTTTCCTGCTCCAGGGAAGTTAGTTATGTTTGCTTCAGGTTTGATGTGCATGAGGCTCAGTTACTAAGGCCAACCTTGCTTGCTAATGCTGTTCCAAGTTTGGTGGAGCATTCTATATTAATTTTGACTTCTGTAGAAATAAAACATTGTAGCTGTAGGCTATTAAAAATTATGTGTATATTTAAAGTTTCTGGTGGATGCTGAAGAATTGCCTTAACACCTGATACTGGTGTGGAAGAAGGAATTATACCTTCAGCAAATGTGCTTGTTGCTGTTGTCTACTTCAGAGCTCTGAACAGATGTGATTTATGGGTTTCTGCTTGCACTAGACAAGATCAAATACCGAAGACTCCTGTAACTGGTCCAGCTTCAGCTTTTCTATCATGTTGCTGTGGTAGCTCTTTCTAATAGACTTGCTGTCTTAAACATAATGTCATGAAGCATTACAGTATGTATAACTTTTGGTGTGGATGTGAAGCAAGTTTGTAAACTGCTTACTGCTTAGCTACTGTGTTGTGGTAGGCCTGGGAAATAAAATTCCAGCAGTTGATAGTGCTAAGGGCTGTCCATTACCAACTTACTGGTGGTTTCTGACAACCTGCTACACTGAATAGTTGTGTCAAGTCCATCTTCACTTCATCATGAAAAAGAAACTTGCTAGATGGCTTGGTTTGTCACACCTGTGGCTCAGGATCTTGTCTTGGACTCTGTTCTTCAACAAAGATTGAGGGGCATAATTCTAAGGTGGCTGTGGTTACTTTGGCCCTTCCCAAAATAGGGAAGAGCTTGAATTCTGCAGTAATGTAACTGACTTAACAACTCATACTGTCTTTTAGGAAGTAGAAGACTTTTTTGAGCAAGAGAAGACTTTTCTTGTGAACTACTACAACAGAATCAAGGATGCATGTGCAAAAGCAGATAAGATGACAAGATCTCATAAAAGTGAATCTTTTCAAAGTCCTTTCTAAAGACCTTGCAGTCTTGCTGATTGCATCCTGAAAACCTTGTCTTGTTCTTGCAGATGTTGCAGATGACTATATTTATACATCAGCTTGCTTGAACAGCCTGGCATTAGAAGAACCTACAGTTATCAAAAAGTAAGCAACTCTAACTGTTCATAAACATATACTGAGTCTGGGAATACCAAGTTCCTTCTGTAAAATCCAGGGGATTGAGTCATAGCTGGTTTGAGTTTATTGAACTGCAGGCATTGAAATTCTCCACAAGACCTTTATGCTCTAGAGATCAGTGTTGTTACTCTAACTGGTGTCTAGCTGCTCAACTGTACTAGTCTGTTAGGCTGGAATCCAGCACCTGTTGCACTGAACCTTTTGTCCAGGTTTTTGCCTAGACCTGAGTTCTTTTCAAGCCCTTGTCTGGGTCTGTATACAGGAGTAAACTCCAGCCTTCAGCTTCTTTGTTTCTTGCTAATTGATCCTGGCATTTAACAGACCAAGAAGTATCTGAAACTTATTTGTGCATTTTTTTTTTTTTTTTTTTTTCCCCCTAGGTACTTGTTGAAAGTTGCTGAGCTTTTTGAGAAACTCAGGGTAAGACAAGCTTTGGGAAGGGGAAAAAAAAAAAGAATCTCTGAATCTGGATGTTGCTGTTTCCTGTTACATACCAACTATCTGATCTTTTCTGCAGAAGGTAGAGAGTAGAGTTTCATCAGATGAAGACTTAAAGCTCTCTGAACTGTTGAGATACTACATGCTCAATATAGAAGCTGCTAAGGTGAGAACAGTTTTCTTTTCAAAGCTTAGTTTTATTATGAGCATCATGACTCACTCATGGTATTTTTTATGCTTTAAGAAGACAGGAAGGTGGACCCTTGTTTTGATTAAGAAACCTGGTACCCCTAAGCCACAGCTGAATATAGAAACTATATATCATCTAGCTGCAGTCCAGCCCACCTACAGAAGGGCTGTTTAAGATCTCTGACCTGTTCTTCTTTGGCATGTATAGAGGAAGAACTCTTTAAATTTCTATAAGCTAGAGCAAACTGAATTTGAGTCTGCAGCAACGTTCTAACCCTTCCCCTGCCCAAGTACTCATGACTTGTCAGTAAAACCACTGATTATTTATTAAAAATCCTGAAGTAAATCCCAACTGCTAAAGTACTTTATCATGAATATGTGGTAACATGTGAAGGCTGTTGGAGGCTGGACTTCCAAGAGTGGTTTGGTAGATTGATGTAACTGCAAAAGCTTTACCAGCAACTCTTTTCTTATCAGTATTTGACTTGGCTACGGGGTGACTATGCTGAGAAATGGTATCTAGGTATATCCTGATTGGCCTCTTCATCTAGTGTCATACTTCTACTGTCCCATGCCCTGGAACATTCACTACAGGCTTCCTCTGTGTGGTGTACTGCTATTTAGATATCAAGACTATACTGCTGCTAGATTAGAAAGAAATTGGCACTGAGTCCTGTACTGCTTCTCATCTCTAGGTTAGTGTAGTGGTTCAGTTAAACTGTCAGATCCCCAACAAATTAAATGATAGTGTATCCCTTACTAGAAGTAGACTGATGGAATTCAGAAAGTGCTATTCCTTCTTAGTGGAGAGGTCTACCTTATAGAAGGATAAAACTATTTTAAGGGAAGAAGCAATGCCTACAGTAGCCCTCAGACTCAGGCGCAAGTGGCTGTTCTGAAAACTCGACGCTGCACTGGTAAAAGGCTCCTGTTACTGTGCTTTTGGAATAGCAGGTCATAATGGCTTGTTGGAAGAAGCAGAATTTGGTGCTGAAAGAAGTAAAACCTCCTGCTGCTAAGGTAGTTGTAGCCTCAGTTTGGGAAGTAGTGTACTTAAGCTGTTGATATCCTATTCCTGTCTACTTTCAGGATCTTCTGTACAGACGTACAAGGGCTCTTGTTGACTATGAAAACTCAAACAAAGCTCTAGATAAAGCCAGACTAAAGAGCAAGGATGTCAGGCTGGCTGAGGCACATCAACAGGATTGTTGTCAGAAGTTTGAAAAGATTTCAGAATCTGCAAAACAAGGTAAAACAGGCTTTGCTGTATTTATGTTGAAGGGAGATCTTGATGTAGTCCAGGTCTCCATCTGACCTTCAACTGTTGAAGGTTTCTGGACACTCTGCTGAAATGAGTAGTCTGGACATCCTAAGGGCAGTACAGATGCCTGTAAAATTAATGCAGCTAAATATTTTTAAGAGCCATTGTCTGAAGCAGAGCAATATTAGTACTAGATCCACCTTAATTGTAAGCTGCTAATATTTGCTTTCCAGACTGAACTCTTGTTCTCAGCCTCCACCTGAAGGTAACTAATTTGGCTTTGGATTATCTCGATTAGAACTGTGCAAACAGTCTTTTGCTCAGTCCCAGTACAGCTGAGTGCCTCATACAGGGCTTCAAACTCCAGTTCTTTGTAAATGTCTTTTGGAAAATATAAAACAGAGGAAACATGCTTTCATGGTACACGTGCCACATCTTTAATGTTCTCATTTTTGAAATGCTCTGTGTCCTCACGGAGCTTGTGTGGCTTACTTCTGTCTTATTCCAGTTGTCTTCCTACAAGCAGACTGCTTCCTTGCCAAGATGTCAGTGTCCTGGGATGAATGCACCTCTGGCTAGAAACAGCAAGGCTAACTGTTGAACCTTTTTGTGGTCAAATACTGTAAATAGAGCTGTACAACAGAACTCATGAAATGTAAGGGGCATTACTGAAGCTTCAGTCACACTTTGTGTGTCAATTTTATCTTTGTTCGTTCTTCCTTACAGAACTGATGAGCTTCAAACAGAAGAGAATAGCAGCATTCCGCAAAAACCTAATTGAAATGGCAGAACTGGAAATAAAACATGCAAAGGTGCGTTCTTGGAAATTAACAGGCATAGCTTGAGAAAAGTGATACTATGTAACTTGGAGGATTTGCTGGGTTCCCTTTAAAACTAGGAAGTGTAAAATTGAACAGCTGGGCTTTTCAGTTGAGATCTGAAATGGGGAAGGAAAGGGGAAAAGCTGTAGGTGTAGTGCTTACAAAGAACAAATGCTGACGGTCTTACCTGGCCCATGCAGAGAAGGTCTGTTTTTCAACCTGTCACTCTTAAGACACCAAGCTATTGCACTGCAAGTGAGAAGTCTCAATTTTGTAGGTAGTACCCAACAGTTCACTTAACCTCCCATCAGGCAGCCTCATCTGTCAGGTTTGACCCTTCCTGCATCTAGAGGCAGCTGCTGCTTCAAGTGTTCCTGTGTGCTGTGAGAACATCCTGCAGCTTGTGACCTAGCTGTCAATCCTTCTCACTTGGCTTATCAGTGAAGGGGGACACTGGCTTTGTAGCAGCCTCTGCTAGGCTTTACTGAGCAGGCTTAAAGTAGGCTGTGGAGACCATAATGTGTACGGCCAACTTAATCCAGGAAAGTATGCACAGGTTACAGGGTCTATTAGTTTAATGCAGAGAACAAAGGATGTACCTGTGCATGCTCAGCTTTTGAAGAGGAAAAGTCTCATTTCTGACTCCTCAAGAGTCGACCTCATCAGAGGTACTGAGCTTGAATGTGACACGTAAGAGCCTTGTCAATACTGCTCAGTCTGGCCCACTTAAAATTTACTACTCTGTCTCTTGCCCCTCTTCCCACAAACTGAGTCATGATTGCAGGCCTGCAGGGAGGTGCAGATTGCAGACTGTATGAGCTGGTTTTGATGATTTACTGCTTGAATGCTTTGTCTTTGCAGTATAAACTCTTTAGTATTGTCACAGGCTACAAAATCTTGGGATAGACCTACTATTTTTGGAAGCTACTTCATTGTGGAAGGCAGGATTTAAATTATCATTCATACTCATGAAACTAATTCTCTTCCTTTCCAGAACAATGTCTCTCTCCTGCAAAGCTGTATTGACATGTTCAAGAACTGAGGCGCCTTATTCTGAAAATGTGAAAAAAGCATCAATTGCACTCAATGGCCAGGGGAAACTTATTGGCTTGACTTCATTAGCTTAAAATATTGTCACTCAGATTGTTTGACTAATACTTAAATATGTTGATAGTGCTACATTGATTTTCTTGGTACAAATGAGAGCCAAATTGTGTATGAATTGTCTGGATGTAACTAACATCCTGTTGGCTGATAACTCAAAATGAGTCAAATGTAAGAAATGAATTTGCTATTGACTGACTTCATCTAGCAGAAAATGTTTTCTGAGAAGAATTCCTTTTTTGTGGGATCATAATCTGTCTCTTCATAGCCCTGACATATTTAAAACTTGCAAGTGGGAGTGACTTATATAAGTGTAGTAATTTTATAAAGTAAATACCTTAACATTCCACTTCCCAGACAGATTTCTACTACAATATATTTTGAATTTCTATAACTACATTCAGTATTTGTACACTTGGGCAATACAGCAAATAAAGATGTCTGATACAACAAGCTGTTGTATGGCAAGACTTTGTGTGGGATATAAAATGACAAGCTGAGGTTTCAGGCACAGAACTATGACAAATTACTCATCACCTGGAGCTCTTTATTCAGAGCACTACAGATAAATATTTGACTCACTGGGATTGTTCTTGGAATGGGTGTTGACATGAAACATAGGGACTTCGGGTCATGTTGCTGTTCAAATAACTCTTAAAATTTTACTTACTATGTCTCCCACACTGAAACCGAGCCTTTCAAAAGCATTGGTAGGTATAGATGGGTTGGTCGCCTTCCGACTGCTTTACAATGCTTCATATTCTGTCAATTTTTACACCTCTTGCTAGCAACAGGAGGCTGTTTAAAACTTCAGGGGTTCTGGAAGCACAGCTCTAGCCAGTCTTTTGTAAGATAAATGTCTTTAAACTTAGTTTGGCCAACTGGGCATATGCTGCCATAGCTGAGGCAACTCAGCCTATAAACCCCGGTGTCATCTTTCTACACATTGGCTATCATTTGGCATATCTGGATATAGGCCAGCAAGCCATACCCTTCTAAAGACAGCTTTGAGTAAAATGAGTATCTGAGCCTTGCTTAATTTCTTGTGACTAAACTTCTAATCATGCTCAAAGTAGGCTGTGTGGCTATGCTCTGGGCAGACTGCCTGAAGCAGCAGCAGTATCAAAGGATTGTTCAAGAGTTTATTCTTCTGTGACCTATTGCTTTTTTCTTTTTGGTACCTTATGAAAACTGAGCACCTCTTACAGGCCATACCATCCTGCCACAGTCTAGCTGAAAAATGTCTGAATTCTGTCTCCTTTTACCATTGTTTGACAGGAACAGTTTCAATTTGTGGTTGATTAAGGCTTCTGAAGTTCATGCGCAGCTTCTGCCCAAATAGCTCAGTTCTAGCAGCAGCCACGTAAGTATATTGCTTGTGGATATGTGGCCTCTATATAGAAGAGAGCTGGTAGGTAGCATCGCTGTCACCTGTGACAGATGTCCTAGCCATTTGTCCTGGGGCAACTAGTGGTCCCAAGCTGGACAACTCATGCTGGCCAAGCTTTGGCCCTTCCTAAAAAGGCACACTCTGCCTCCTGCCTTCACTGCTGGCTGCTTTATCCTTGGCTCTGCTGGTGTCCCAGCTATGCCATGATGAGCTTCTAGTGTGTTGCAGCACTCAAGTCATGGTTGCTTCGCACCCCTTTGCACCTACGGCACAGGAGAAGTAGCATCTTGCTTAGGCTGTTTTACAGTAAAAATGTTGTTACGTGCTGGGTCTTTCTGAACCTTGCTCCAGTAGCTGGATGGTCTTTGTGAATCAAAGTCAGTAGCAAGGAACAGCCTATACACCTAACTGCCTGTGGGCTGAGTCTGAAGAAGTTAAATTATAACTGTGTTTATCTTACGTTATTTCAACTCGGTTCTGAGGCCTTTCTTATTTTCCCTAGAGAAAAACTGCAGTTAGTATTGATGTGACAAACAAAACTTTGTCCCAACTCCAGAAGGAGTCTAGACTATTGTGGGCTTCATGCAGTGCCAGTAACTGTGTTTGAAGCTAAGCGAGGCACATTTTTATGTTCTAATAGACCTTTTTCATGAGATGTTTATGCTCCAAATTCTTCACGTATCTTGACTCAGATTAAAATCTTAATCTGATCAAATTAAAATTATGTAGAAGACTTTAAGTGGATGTAATCATGGCTTTATACTGATGTTGTAGTTAACTTAGAATAACTGCATGAAACAGTAGCTATAAAGTAGTCTCTGCCAATAACACCGTTGCTCTGAAGGAAGCTGCTTTGTGTCAGCTGTGCCAGTAGAGTGCGTTGCAGTCAGCTTCAATGTCTGAACAGTGTTGACTCGAAAAATACTAGTCACGGCACAGATCATGTTCCTGGAGGCCAGTGGGTGGCAGGCTGGGACAGCTGCTGGTAGCTAATGGCACGCTGTTTACCCTCAGACTTGGTTGTAATGAAGTACTGGAAAGGCTGCTGCATACCCCAGTTTCTTACCTGGAGGCTGGACATATATTGATATATAAGATAAATTAGCTGCATATCTGGGCAGTCTGCTCATGAGGAAGGACAGAAATCTTTCTTTAACTAGTCTTAACTTATGACTAGATCTGGCTCTCCTTGTATCAGGGCCTTGAATAAAGCCTTAGCAGAACAAAGATCAGCACCAGCAAGTCAGTGTGATAAAGCAAGTTATCAACAATATGAAAATAAGTTTTTAGAAATGTTGCTGGGACTTCATTTAAAAAGCTGGTTGGGGGGATGAGAGCAGGGTTTTATCGATGTCCCAAACAAGGATTGACTCTAGTGTACACTTACTGATCACATCTGTAAAGCAGTTTACTTTTACAAGCTTGTTGCTTTGCTTTACAGGTTGAAAATTGGCTTTTGAGAACAGGCATATAAGCCTTATCACTGTGATGGTAACTGATTTGAAGACCCACACACCACAGATATCGGTTCTTCTCTATCCATTTGAATGAGGTCAGAGGGAAAACTAATGTTCAGTCAAGTTTAAGGTTTGTTAGACATCCAGCTCTACCATTGTTGATGAAGACAGATGCTGTTATACCTGGAGGCCACTGGCTTGCAGCACAAGTGCTTAGGCTAGTTCTATGCAATCCCTTCCAGCCATGTTCCCCTCTAAGTTTAAATAGCAGGTTTTTGCTAACCCAGTTTGCCTTGCCTGAAATGGGCTGGGGGTTCTCCCAGTAGCAAGTCAGCAGGTACAAATCCCCAGCCTGGGGTCAAGGGCATATTCTCGTAACACAGCTGGTAGTGGAGGTGCATTCTCTTGTACCTTGGTGCTGTGCTTGTGGCCTGTGTTATGGGATACAGCATAGAGAAACTACCCTCCAGAGGAGAATGTTCCTACTGGCATGCAGCTGTTGGTCTGTGTAGGGTGTTCTAGGATACAGTGCTCCCTTCTCCCCATGGTAAGGTAAGTTTGGAGTCTAGCTTTTTTTCTTCCATTGTGGCGAGGAGCAGATGTTTTCCCTCTTCCCAGTGGAAGCATGCATCCTGAGGAATCCAGTTGTGTGCTCAGTGTTAGAGAGTAAGGAGGGGATTCATCTCCTTGGACAGCAGTAGCACTTCTCTGTAAGCAGAGGAGCAATGATGACTGTTGGGATGGTGCTGGCAAGGTGGGCTAGAACCAAGTCCTTGGGTGCCCCAGGTATCTGGCTGCCTGTCTCCACTGCAGCAGATCTGACCGCTAACATGGGCACGGAGTGGTGGATCTGGATCACAGTGTAAACCCAGGAGAGGCTAGCAGCAGGATAGCTGGATGCAGAAGGCTGCAGCCTTGGTATGGTGCTTGTAGTAGGTCAGGTATCCTAACATGAGAGTATCTTTGGGGTGGGTGAAACAGATGGTGGTTGTACTTAAAGAGTTGTGGTGTCTGGATGTTGTGGTTTAAACTCAGCTGGCAGCCAAACACCACACAGCCACTCACTCTCCCCCATGAAATGGGGGAGAGAATTGGAGGGGTAAAGGTAAAGATACTCATAGGTTGAGAAAACAAAATTAATAATGAAAATGAAAATAATAATAGCATATACAGAAGAGTAATGCACAATGTGATTGTTTACCACCTGCTGACCCATTCCCCAGCCCCTTCCCAGCTAGTGATCCCAGAGGAGAGAAAATCCTGAAGCCACAATTCCAGAAGAGAGCGAGCCAGCTTCCTGACCAAAACTAATCTATATGCTGAGCATGATGTTGTATAATATGGAATATTCCATTGGCCAGTTCAGGTCCATTGCTCTGGTTCTGCTCATTCCTAGCTTCTTGTGCACCTGCACACTAGCAGGACATGGGAAGTTGAGAAGTCCTTAATCTCTTAGCAACAACTAAAAACATCAGTATATTATCAACATTCTTCTCATACCCAATCCCATACTGCATCTAAAACACAGCGCTACTCTAGCTACTAAGAAGAAAAAAAAATCAGCTCTATCCCAGCCAAACCCAGGACACTGGATATTGGAAAACTGCAGATCGGAACCAACCTGATCCCATAAGAGAGGTTCATAAATGTGTTCTGTTTTACCAGGTGGTGCTATAAAACAGGGTTTTGTAGTCATAGGAAATGAATGATTAAGGGTTGAGTGTACTTCAAGAAAGAGCTGGTTTGCCCTGGTTCCAGGAAGTCATACCACTGATGCTAAGGCTGGTAAACCAAGCAGAGAATGGTTCCTGTGCCTTTGGGACACAGAAAGCCTGGAAGAGCTGCGAGCACGGACTCTCTGCTAGTTGTTGCTAGGTCTGTGCTTTCCACAATGGTTCTGCAGCTCTGACTGGCTTTACAAGCCTGGGAAACTCCGCTAAACTTCCTGGTCTGACTGCGGACAGAAATTCTGCTGCAATCTGACTTACCTTGGGGTGATTACTGATATTTTAATTAGAGAGTCATTGCGACTAGGTTTGTTTTGTTCTTTTTTTTTTTTTTTTTTAATATGTTCCAAATTTATTTGACTCCTCTCCATTCCATCCTGTTTCTTCTTGACTGCACACTCTGTAGGGGAGCTCTGATCTGCGGCCCTGACCTCTAGCAGTTTTGTAGCCTTGTACTACACTTCTGATAGCAGCAAATGTGAATTTCTCAAAACATGGAGCTGGGAAGGTTTTTCTCGGCAGGTATTAATAGTTTCTGGCACTTGCAATCTCTCTCAAAAGACTGGGAGAAACCACTTGTTTATTCTGTGAAGCAAAGAGCTCTGCAGAGTTCCCATTCTTGGAGGTAGCTTTCAGTACTTTCCTGCCATCCCAGCAATTGCTGCTATGTCTGAGAGCACAATTATGAGTTATTTCAACTTTTGATCTTGAACACCTGCGTCATCACTTGGTGACAGTGGAATATCTGAAATGGATTTGAAATCTGTCCATTTACAGCTCACTGGTCACCAGTGTGTAAATGCAGGCACTGGTGATCCGTTTTAATCCCTCACATTGTTGCCTGGCTCCAGCTTTGGACCTGCAGCTCATGGCTTTCTG